AGGCCAATATTGCGATCATGAATGGACATAATTCAAATCGTAATCGCATTCGATTACTTGCTATCGGTGTTACTATCTTCGTCATTATGGCAACTGTACACTATGTTGGTTTATCCAATAGAATCAAAATGCTCTCGGAACGGTTAGATCAATCATCGATGGAAAAGAATGGCTTATCAGATAAAAATGCAGATCTTGAAAAGCGAAATAAGATATTAGAGGAACGCTTGGCTGAGAAAGATAAACTTCATGAATCCAATAAAAATCTTCAACAATCGCAAATGACCGAGCTCAAGAACAAAATGATGCATTTAGAAAGTCATAAAGCGGAATTAACCACAGATATTGACCGATTAAGAAATGTTAATGCAAAATTAAAAGAATCATCACAACAACTTAAAGAGGAAAGAGATACCTGTAAAAATTCCACCAAGCAACTCAATACTCAGCTTGGTGATATGAAGGTACAGCACTACCTAACCCATGACGATCATGCTACAACCTTACGGTAGTATTTTTGTTCTACGATCCAAACGAAAATTAAAATACTCATACTCTTGTACGCAATCGTTGTATACAAACCTCGTAGCTATCATAGTAATACTAGCACAGTCCTAACCTTACAAAGTGATCGCTCTTATGAAGTTGCCAAATGGTTGTAACCTGCAATTTTCTCCCATCATCAATCCATAGAGTAGAAGAACGAAAGCGAGGATTGCTATGCTGCCTCATTAATAGTTCAATCGTTATCACGTTCAATTCCTACCTTAGAACAAATAATAGTGTTGTTTTAATTTTTAAATTTTTAGCGCTAGTCTACTTTTTATGTTCTTGCCAATACTGCTTAGTCTATGTGTAGGACAAAGAGATTACCTCGCCAAACATTCAAGTCGACTGTGTAGTTTGTTTTATTCTTGACAACAAATATGCCATCATGATAATTATAATGGACATTGCACAGTATGTTCCATTGGTATACCTATTCTATCGAAATATACTCATGCAACCTACTATACTGTGATTGTACATGCTAACTTAAACCGACAGTATGTACGAGATGTATATCATTCAAGTAGCATGTCCTCTACTCAGTAGTATTACAAATTAGCATGCTTGATCTGTGCGTACTGTAACATAATTAAAGTTGACAATACTTCAAGTCAATTGCTAAAATTGCCAATTTTTATGCTCGATAAATAAGTATTCATTAACGTTTTCAAATAGGATCAAGGAAAACGCGATTCCAACGAGTTAGAAGGTATTTTTAAACTATATTCATATTGAGTCAGCTTGAAGTATACCGTACATGAATATAGATATATTATTTAATAATAATTATTGTATATATATATGTATATATAAGAAGTAGAGATTTTTGACTACAATGATTAAATCGTTACTGATGTGATTGGATAATTTTTCAAATTCTACACTACAGTAGTTGCTATATACGAGTACGGACGTTATCTTGTATATAGATGATGATTATACCGTATATTACGCTGAATTTAAATTTCTCATTAATAACCCTATTATTCCCTTCACATAGCCTCGCATTTGCTACTACAAAAGAAATTCGACGACTTGCAGAAATCCTGCAAAGGGTAAGGGAAGAAAATGTGAATGATTGTAGTATTTACCTATTTAAATAGGACATCGCCAAACATGACAATCGCGGGAATAAAATTAAGTAATGTACTATATTGCTAGCACGCTTAAGTCCTTATTCATAATATGGGATAGTATATCTTAACAACAGCATAATATCTCATATACGGTATATACAGTAATAGGCAGAATGATAATAATAAGCGACTTTGATTATGTAACAAGATGATATGATACCTTAGTATTTACCTAACAAATGTTTGTACGCTTTTAATGTATTTCCTTGCATTAGTAACTTACTCCATCGAATAAAACTACCTATTGATTTCTATCAGTTATTCTAATGTAACTATGCGAGCTTTTACGAACTTCAGTAGGAAGATACGACTGTTCATTTACGAACATTGCCTACGTTCATAACATTGTACTGTGATTCGAATAAATGAATGTAATTGTATAACAGTATAGGATACATCAGTTGCGCCTGATGATTGATTAATACTGTATTTTTCTGTACTAAAGAATTCCCAACAAGGACAACACTAAAACTGACGGTGAAAACAAAGGTACGTTTACGTTGGTACCTAAAAAAGTACAACGCAAATTATTTATATAATTATCATCTATATACTGTATATGCGCCTTAAATTAAAACGCACATTTTAATTCTATTTTATGACGACAATCTTATCCATAATTTAACTTTCACAAGCCAAAAAATCTCAACTTACCGAAAGTGAATCCAATGATAACGAAAGTAAAGACACCAAGAAGAAGGTATTTAAACGTTATATGATGCAATAGATAAACCCTCTATTGAGCATAGTTGAATGCATTGTTAGAGATACTAAGCTGTTGAAGGACTTTTGCGACCAAATACTTCCTTAATAACTACCTCTAGGCATTGCTTTTATAAAACTAATGTTTAAATTTATATTACAAATTATATTTAGAATAAGCCAAGAGAGAACAGCTCTCGTCTCCCCGAAAAGAAATCATCTGAATTAGATGAAAAGGAGGAAAATAGCGACACTGGTGTTGACACTTCTAGCAACTCAAACGTTTTAAGCAAACCTGCTCAATCGAAAAAAGACAATAGTAATACAAGTGAAGATTCTCAATCTAAAAGTAAACAGAACGTAAAAGCAAAATCTACTAAATTGGAAAAAGGCGAAACTGATATGGGTGAAGCCAATAAATCTAAAAGCAAGCAGGACACAAAATCGGAATCTGCTCAATTGAAAAACGGTGAAAGTAATACAAGTGAAGATAACGAGTCTGGAAGTAAGCAGGCCACAAAATTCAAATCTACTAAATTGAAAAAAGGTGAGACTGATACAAGTGAAGATAACGAGTCTGGAAGTAAACAGGCAACAAAATCCAAATCTACTAAATTGAAAAAAGGTGAGACTGATACAAGTGAAGATAACGAGTCTGGAAGTAAGCAGGCCACAAAATCCAAATCTACTAAATTGAAAAAAGGTGAGACTGATACAAGTGAAGATAAAGAATCTGAACGTAAGCAAGGCGCAAAATTCGAATCTGCTAAATTGAAAAAAGGTGAAACTGATACAAGTGAAGATAAAGAATCTGAAAGTAAGCAGGACTCAAAAGTCAACATATCATTAAAGGGCAAGAATAAGGATGAAAAATCTGCATCTCGTAATGATAATGCCGAAAAAATAGCTGATGATGATACGATTGATTCAAATGAAAGAGATCCTCATGATCAAAAAGAAATCGATAGACCTGCTAAAAGTTCGTCAAAGCAAAATGAAAAAAATGAAGTGCTAGTTAATAATGATACTAAGCAAAAAAAAAATTCAAAAGTTAGTAGCGATGACATCGAGGTCGCTTAGAAAATAATTGTATGACAAACTTCATATTTAATATAGGTTATAATTTATGTCAGATGAAGTCTTTAGTGAAGACAGCTGATACTTACAGCTTAAAAGTATCTATATTGGCTAGCGTTCCCTTGGTTTCAATATGTTAGAGCTGATTCGGTATTATTGTTTGGTAGTATTCCTAAGTTGTATATTGTACAAAGTACGTATATTCGATCTTTTGGTAGCTTATTATGAAGTGTGCATATAATTACTGTATAGTTAAGGGATTACAAACTTGGTGCATTTATCGATTGCGGATCATTAAAACGAATACCTGTAATATGCATCTTAAAATATGGCACATTCACACATACATAACCAATAAATTTTCGCTCATTTACAGTGTATTATATCGAAATTGCATGCATTTTGTCTTCCTTTGGTAATAAAAATGTTACTGTAAATTAAACAGCCTGTACGTACATTCATTTACATCGGAATATTCTTGAAGACTTTAGTCGCTAAATCTTTGTCAATGCTATTAATCTTATTAATTATTAATTTTATGATCTCAATACTATTACAAACTACTAAGGTTGGGACAAATGCCATAATTTGATTACATTCAGCCAGTAAACATCAGTTAACCCATCGATCATACCGATAGAATAACGCTAATCCAATTAAATGCTCAAGACCTTGTGATTTACTGTACTGTATATTATACAACATCACTTAGCTTGGAGCCTTAGAAAACGGTTATCTAGTTTCATGTCAACATTAAGAAATGTTGTCAATATATTGAAAGTAATTAATTACTGTCAGATTCGAATCAATTTCCGTCATGAATTTTTTTCCGCTAGCGCAGAGATAATTTAATACAGTAAACGTTGTCAATATATTGAAAGTAATTAACTGCTATTAGATTCGAATCAATTTCCGTCATGAATTTTTTCCGCTAGCTAGCGCAGAGATAATTTAATAGAGTAAACGTGGCTGAAACAATAATTGCCTCTCTTGAAAACTGCATACACGTTAGTCAGCAATCACCAATCTTTACAAATGCTTTATCAAGGTTTTTTGACAAGGTTAATGAGCATCAAACATTTTTATTTATCATGTTATTATTATTACAGCAATAATAGCGAATTTTGGACAACCTTGCAAATGGGTTCCATACTTTATAGTAAAATTGAAAAGTAATAATTTAGTAGTGTAGTGAAGAATATACGAAATAGGCTCCTCTAACAGTAGATTGCCTACTCATATTTGTATCAGTAATTGTAGTTATTACATCAGTGTAGGTATTCACTTGCATCTCCTCTCAAGTCTTGTTGATAATTAAATTAAGAATTCGCTGGAAAGTAGGGTACAATTTCAACATACACTATTATTGCACACTAGTAGACAAGAACAACTGGTGATATAACAAGATGTATTGTTTCTGAGTTGCACAATAATAAACAGCATATACGCGTATATACAATATATGGGAATAATTACCATGAAGATTTTTTTGCCATCCCGTTCACCTTTATGATGATTACAGTGATTGCAATACCTCTATTGCATTCTACTACGTAGAATTGGCTCGATTTCTATCTCATCTTTTTCATATAACCACTTCCGATTTGCTCTGCAAGCAACTCCACATTTTAACGAACCACACTCTGAGCAAGGGAAATAGCATCCAGGACAATCCACATTTAAGCAGTCGCATGTGTCACTTGTTTTAATAAGAGGTTATATTAATACATACATAATAATATGTTTTAAGAGTGTGATAAAAAATGTCCTTTCAACCTTGAATATATGAATATCGATACTGGTACTTACATTGACTTTTTATTGACTTGAAAATCACATCTTTTTGGGCATTTTTTACGTTCTCGATTATCCATATCGAAATAGCAAGAGAAATCTAAATCATCAAATTGAGGTCCAAGATTTTTTAACTCTATATTTCTTAAAATATAATTGGTCCTTGTCGTTCGCTTACCATCGTTAGCCTATTACCAAGAAATTATAATTATCCATTAGGTCCAAAACTTGATATCGGTAATATCGTTTGTTCATTTTCAATACGCTCAACAAGGGGTAATACACTAGCAATAGCGTATAGTATGGCATCGATTATTCTAATTATCAACATGACAGAATGTTTTATACGCGTATATAAGAGAATGTAGAAAAGAAAGAAATGAGTAGAATGTTGCCGAAAATTTCTGTACCGTTGCTGATACAATTCCAGACTGAGGTACTGATTGCGCTTTGCCAATAGATGGTTGTTTACCTACATATACAGGTCGATAGGAAAATAAAATTAAATTCTTCATATACCAGGATTGATTTATTACAAGCAAGCCTTATTGGTGAATTAATTGGTAAAGTAGATGGAATTCTTTTCATTTTTACCAGATTTAGCAGTCGCAGCTTTATTGGATAACTTGCGGTTGTCATTGGAGTTGATGTTGGATAACTTGCGGTTATTATTGGAGTTCATGTTGACCTGGTTAAGTAGTTTTTCTTGAGCTTTTGCGATTGCTTTGTAAACGGTTGATTTACCTATGCCTTTATAACGGGTCAAAATTTCACGTGATATTTCTCTTTGCACTATTCCTTGCTGTGCGAGCTCTGCAGCGAGATCGTAAACTTGGGTGAAATCTTCTTTTGTATATCTACAGCGCGGCAATGTCTGTAGAAACATCACAGTGCGCTCAAATTTAGGAGCTATAACTTGATCGTATATGTACACATACTGTACAAAGATAGATATAGTTGCGCGGCCATCTATCTATCCATTACATATTCTATATCATTATTTTCAACTCATATTGTCTATTGGTTAATTACATGTTTATGTGGTTAAGACTATTACATACAGATATACTGTCTCATACAAGTAATACAATATTCGGAGGGGCTGTACAACAATTTCATTAATAATATCATCTATTACTATTCTGTATATAGTACAGTATATATCGGTATATGTATTGCGTCCATGATTGACTGTTTTGCATCATTTTATAATTATGGGTGTTAGAACTATGCGCTCACTATTGCATCCATCAGGTAGCGTAGGATGAACCCTGTTGCTGTTGATAGGATGGAAAATGCAACTGACTCCTCTTTCAAGAGTTCAGTCAATATCTCTAAGCCGAGGTAACTAAGCAAGTACAGTATCGCGTTAGTAAGGTTGGATATAAATATTGCATGGGATGCAATCACTCTTTGAGTACAGTACAGTCAAGATAGAGGAAAACAACGATCGTATGCACTATCATGCAGTGTTAAGGAGGCTTTTCCACATTATTGCGTAGACCGTATTGTATGACAGAATTGTAAGATATTTTGAACTTAAGGTAGTCATGACATGACGATTACTTGGTCTTGTATGTCTGCATTATACCGATAGGCATACCATCATGATCAATCATCAACCACTTTATAGTAATAGAGTACAGTATAATTGTAGTCGATGTCCAAAAGAGAGTCAAGTTCAATTGATATTTACCTTTCTACGGCTCATTTGGGTCGCAGCGCTTGTACAGTTTTCGTGTTGTGGTATTTCAATTCATCCTTCATCTGCTTGCACCTATATCCTTCTGGCGAGTTGGTTTATTGGAGAAAATGAAAATGACATCTGCACTAATCCTGCTGGCGAATGATATCAATTGACGTAAAATAATAACAACTTAATATTGATTCAAATTTGAAGTAATACAATCTGCGGTATGCACCGATTACTCCTAGTCTAGAAAAGAGACTGCCAGTTTATGTAACTATATTACAGTACTGTATAGTGTCGACTGTAAAGAGTAGCACTGTACCAGTACGAGATGTGATTAATTTCCTATCAGATTATGAAAAATGCAATAAAATGCTTGGATATTCATCCATTTTATGTAAAATTGATCAATCTCTCTGGATGTCTGCATACTCACTTCTATTAAATTTTGATGGACTTTGTAGTTTAAGTTAGGAATTCAATTCTGCATCGAAATGGATCAGAGTGTACAGTACATTGTACAGTATCCGGTTACAGTACATTATACTGTAAGTAAATTCGTGTGTACTGTAGATCTGAGACCGGTTCGGTCTGGTGCGGAACCGTTATGATCGATATACTGTATCGTGTGGAGATTTTTGCGTACTGTAGTTTTGGAAATAACGGTTTGTATTTAAACGTAATTTACAAAGAAGTTATGCTTTGTATAGTAATTCTGACAATGGATCCTTGTAATTTAAGTCATTCTCTTTGGTTTCATATAAAATTTATGGAAGAAATCAAAGATTTTTTCCATTTACTTTCACAAAAATCATCGAAATTAGCCCGTCCACACTGTACAGTGTACAGTACAGCACTGTATTATATTGTACTGTACACTCTGGTGAATTTCCATGCAGAATTCAATATGGATTGGACTGAAGAAAACGCCGACAGCGAACAGCAGAGTCCTCCCTCACCTGGTAGCTAGAAAAATCGATAGCATATTGAAGTACAGAAGTAGGTTTTCAAGTTGAGAACAGGCGTAGTCCAATCAAGGGAAAAAATAGAGAAAATGATCTGATACGCACTAACTTCCACTGACAGCATAGAACAGTATAGTCCACGGGTTCTAAGGGAGGCTTTGCCTGTCTTACTAACAACATACAGTACAAGTCCCAGTGAGTGGATACAATTTTCGTGGTAAAAGAAAAAACTATAGCACTGTAGTGCCTGTACCAGTGCTCACATAGCCAGTAGTGAGTGCAGTCTACTGGTCACTACGGTACGGTCTGGTTCGGTGCGGTTCGTTACGGTACTCAGACCAGGCTGGTGCTCGCGCAGGCTCAGTACATGCTGGACAGTACAAGTCCCAGTGAGTGGATACAATTTTCGTGGTAAAAGAAAAAACTATAGCACCGTAGTGCCTGTACCAGTGCTCACATAGCCAGTAGTGAGTACAGTCTACTGGTCACTACGGTACGGTCTGGTTCGGTGCGGTTCGTTACGGTACTCAGACCAGGCTGGTGCTTGCGCAGGCTCAGTACATACTGGACAGTACAAGTCCAAGTGACTGGATACAATTTTCGTGGTAAAAGAAAAAACTATAGCACCGTAGCGCCTGTACCAGTGCTCACATAGCCAGTAGTGAATACAGTCTACTGGTCACTGGTCAGTGCGGTACGGTTCGGTTTGTTACGGTACTCAGGCCAGGCTGGTGCTTGCGCAGGCTCAGTACATACTGGTCATTGGTATTGGACTATTAGTACAGTACTAGCATCAGTAGGGCACTGGTCAAAGAACAAACACCCCATACACAAGTCTATCATCAATCTACTGTACTCAACACAATATAGCACCGTGATTGCCAAGGCCCAAAAATAGTCCTCGGTCTTCATCACTCTGCCTCGTCTGCCATCGATCAGTTGTTGGCAATTTACTCCATCGATCAATTTCTTGCATCCATCGACTTCAACTTATCCAATTCAGCGTTTCAATAATGACACGACACTCAAGAAATTGTACAGCAGGACCTGTTTACTCATACCATGAGCGTCAGAAAGATACAAGTACTGTACACATTGATCCTTTTCAGTTGATAGCGTTGATAGCAAGTACTAATCATGTCGCATTTGTGAAGCATAACAAACTAGTTGGTGTTGAATGCAATTCTCCTTATTCTACACTCTTAGTCTTTCCTTCGACTGTACAATGTCAATCAATACTGTATTGTTGAAACATCAACGATGACAACTAGGGGGTGTTGAATGCTTATGGAAATGTTTGCATTCGACTGTCCCATGTTAGTATTGTCGCTAAACTGGGATATCATTTCTGTTTTAGAAATCTCCGGCTATGGGACACGATCCATTCGATTGAGTAAAGACTCTGTTCGAGTAAGTATAATTACTGTAGTGGATACTATTCATATTACCCATGTACTTTATCATGATATAGACAGTTGATTTCAGCATGATAGCACATAGCTATACTGCATGCATGCCTACAATTTGTACATTTTGTATCATATTCAAACAACTGTAAACATGTTCTCTAGGGTTTCGATTGCTGCTGTTTAACATTGCAACCGTGCAGAGATCCTGTTATGACGTAAGTGTGTACACGGTATAGTATATTAGTATGATAGATGTAGACACTCAACAATGGAATCATTGCTCATCTTACGATCGCATGGATAGGGCATTGCTGATAGTGCTAACGGTAGTGGATGATTGTAAAGTACACGAGTATCCTGATAGAAAGAAAACCAACCTGTAAATACTCTAATTTGAACGTTTTACCTTGCATCGATAGGCCTGATGGTTATCTCTACGACAAGGAAGCCATATTTTCTGCACTACTACGTCAAAAGAAAGAAGGTACTGTACATGATGGAAAGTCAAACCTTACAGGGTAGCATGTTGAAAGATTGCAGTTATTATACGGTATACTAGAATAACTCAGGCTTCTGTTGCAATCAGATGTCTCATTCAATCGATGCTCTATTCATAGTTTACCCTATAGACGATATCCGATTATAATCACACTTCTTCAATATTATTCCTTGCATACACCCAGTGATAGCCAAAGCCAATACTCTACACATTTAGATTGAATTACTATAACAAGACGTTCATAGAAGATCTCTTTTTAACTTAACTGATCAAATTGACTCATCTTGTTCAATTGGATGGTAACGAAGATTGAGTAACCGTGAATGCCAATGATTGTATAGAAACACTAATGTTATTATGTTATCGTTATTCATCTTCTAGCTGCATTAAAAATGAAGGCTTATGAAAAACAATTGAAAGAACAGCAAGTATGGTGTTGTAATTGAATTAATACCATTTATTCAAATTTTTCCAATTTCTTAAAGTTGTGGTATTGCTTAGCTCAGAACTTTTATAAAAATCTGATGTAAAATGGTAGTGGTAGATCCTATTCAAATGATGATTATTATCCAGTGCCAAGTTGCCAATTAAACTATTTACAATGTAATGTTATCGATTTCAATTACTATTCATGTAATACCTAGAAAGAAACTTCTGCAATAGCTGCTTCTGAAGAGCAAGCTAAAGTTGAAGCTTTTAAAGCCACAGGTACGGGTAAAACAATTTTTCAATGTTACAAAGTTGATGTTAATGTAATATTTAATATTGTGTAACATTCTTGGAGATATTCTTCATATATAACCTCTTGATTGGCTTGTGTCATTATAGTATTATATGCTTATTAAAACGTGAAATCTGCTCTTTCAAAAGATGAAGAGTACATATCTGATTAAAAAAATGCTTAATCCAAGTTACAATTAATATCTTACAGAAAATAGCATAACATCGAAAACTTCCACATTTACTAGCAAGGCTTCCATACAAAGTGATTTAAAAGGTATCAGCTCATAATGATTGGCGTTGTTTTTCTCTACCGTGGATCTGTTGAAAATATCAATAATTCTATTGTGTGCATTCAAAATCTAGCTAGTAGTAGTAGTTCTACAACTGAAGATAAGAATCTAACTAGTTTTTGGGTTCCTTCACTAACACCTCAAGCCAAGCCAACATTAATTAAAAAGCCTGTAAGTTTACAAGTCCATCGCTAGAAATCTGTCAAAATAGGAAAAGACTCTTTACCATTGTCGTAACTTAATTTCTTTTATATAAAGGATAACAAAACATATTGTCCGATGAGTGGTAAACCTATAAAAATTAAGGACCTTATCCCTGTAGAATTTACTGAAATCGTTGACAAGGATGATAAAAGATCGCTCATATGCAAAGATGTAATATGATACCTTTGGCATATTTTGTCTACATGTTACAATGATAGTCATTATACTGTATAGAAACTACCGGTTGACGGTATTTAATGTCTTCTCTTAACAACAACATTAATCAGGCTCGGTATATGTGTCCAATCACTCATGATACTCTGAGTAATTCTGTTCCTGCAGCTGTGCTACGATCGAGGTAAATCAAATTTTAACGACTTGATGGCACTTTAATATTCTGCTAGAATGCTCTATAACAATAAAATTAAAATCTATTTTCTACAATGACGAAATAATATTCAGTGGTAAAGTAGTCTCTATGGAAAGTATCGAAAAAATCGTGAAAAAAGATATGATCGATCCGTTTACGTCCACTAAGATAACGGAGAAAGACATTATTGTGTTACAGAGGGTAAGTTTACATAATCGTGAACTACTATACCACTACCATATTTAATGGCTCAAATTTATCAACTACCACTAGTACCATGGTGCAAAAACTAAGTCGTTTAAAATTTGGGTATATTTTTTTAGATGTGAAATTCGTACGCTCAATAATGTAAGCTTTATATTTGTTTATTAGGGAGGTACAGGATTTTCTGCTGCCAATGAAGGATTACAGGCTAAATTAGCCAGACCTGTGATGTCAATTTCTTAACCAATGTCTATACTTTGCGCATCTTGTACTGTATCATTTCCACCTAATTTCTAATATAGAAAGCGTATTACTTTTGATGCTAGTTAAGTCAGACATGTCCAATCTAATGAGATAACGTTTCTGTATAAATCTAAGTTACATTAGATGTTGGAAATATTGTTTATTATTGTAACTATTTTATTATGGTCATAGTTTGTCATAGAGATTGCGCTACTAAACATTCCTGAGATTGTAGTACTTTATCTACAGTATTGCTAACTTTCCTGCATAACAATTAAAAAAGGGGTACATTGAAGTACTTTGATCCTATGTTTCAATTCGTTGACGCTTACAAAGTAACTGCTGATGACACTCTTTTCTGCAATCCTATGTAATATAATATTTCGTAACTACTTGATTGAGATTTTTAGTTTCTAGAAAAATACGGCTAATTATAATAAAAAGTACGTACCTGTTAAATCACAGTTTACAGTAAAATGTATTCAATTTATTGTAGATTTTGTGCTTGCTTATTCCTTAAACAGACGCATTACATAAATCATATAGTAGTCATAATGTTGCTAAAATACTATTTGTAATGCGAGCCATTTATATCTCCATAAATAAGGAAGCAAAGACAATTAATAAAATAAAATAAATTACAACAGATAGAATTACGATAGCAATTAAAAAATTATTAAAATGAAGTTGGCTTAACTGATTGATCGAGAATCAAAACAGAGGTTGTACCGTAATATAACATAAATCTTTAAGAATGTTTCATTGTCTAATCATTTCCTTCATAAGCTTAAGGACCGTCCTATCGACCAAAATTATAAGGATTCTTGTCACTTAAACTGGAGGGACGTAATCCCTACCGAGCAGCCGTTCAGCTACTCCAAGCAAATATACAGTATTCGCTATTCCAAAGAGAGGAGAGATGACAATTATTCTTGGTGTGCATCCTTTGAAAAATGCAGCTACGGTACCAAGAAAAAGTATTGTTAATAACTTGACAGTGGCAGGATATATGATTTATCGAGTTACCGCGTTGCATATGTACAGATATATTAAAACTACTCAAGTAAGATTAGACATCATCTTAGGCTATACTAAAATAGTTCATTGTACGTACTAATTCCTTCTTGCTTGAAAGTTGTCCTAAATTAAGAATATCAAGGTATTAGGATTTAAATCAAACAATATCCTATGAAACCTGAAATGGAAATTAGACTTCTTTATGATTGAAAATTCCTTATAGTACCTGACACAGTCAACTATGCCACTATATCTAGCTTTCCCTGTATCTTTATCGAGAGCTTGCAGCCTAGTTTTTATAACTGCAGATATTTTTATAGCATTAGTTAGTTCATTTTATAAAATATTCCATTAACTCATCTACTTTAAAGTTAAAAATAATAAACGCCAAGTACTACTGCTGAAACGATTATAAAGATACTATAGGTTCAGAAAATAGCCAAGGGCGCAACGATACGTATAGCAGACTTACCATCGCAAGGATTTACAGAAACTGTAGCAATAGAACCTGAAATAAAAAAGTAGTTCATAGCGTTATCGCCGCATAATCGCACACAACATAACTAAACAACTAGCAAGCATAGTACCTGCAAGACAGCCAGCTAAAATCGAGTGTTGCCATGGTACCTTTCCATTTTCACGAGTTCCCTGCAAGTAAAAATGCATTGATCCTTACTACGACTGTTGTATTTGTAAAACCATAATTAACACCCTGCTAATGCTATAGTAGGTAATAGTCAGAGCAAAATACAGCAACTTTACCATCTTATTGAAGTGAGCAAATGCTGGAAAATAAATTAAAGAAAACGGTATATCTCTATACGTATTAACAAAAGAAAAAATTAGTGATTCCCGGATCAATAATATTATCACCAAAACTCTTGAATGTCTATGTAGCAACTCGAAGTATGTACCTCATCCAGGTAGCCCCAAGGCCACGATAAATTCCGCTGATGCCTTTATTTCGTAACTCTCCAATTGCAAATTTTAAAGCTGAAGGCCTCTTGCTATCGGCAAATGCAGCAGCGGTTTTCCCTTCTACACCGCCTACGTGTATATAGAGTACTTATTAAAACAGGCATTACTCAAAGAAATTCATGTGTAAAACGGGTAGCAGGTATCCAACTCTAAACGCATGAGAAGATGGTGTATAGAACAAGATAGCAGCAATACATCTTCCAAATGCACACAAATTAACTGAATCAACGTTATCAAACTGTTTGATGACAGATAGTTAAACAACTGCGAACCTGGCTGAGCTACAGCTTTGCCTGCCATTTGCATGTGTATTTTTAGAAATTCCATGGGACACGTTATGATAACCTATACATTTAAGAAATGCAGTTATTACGTAGAAAGACTCTATAATAATAATAATACTATTTTATAACTTTCATGTTAGATTGATTGATCAGTCTAGACTCTAGAGCCTTCACAAATTACATAGTGCACCAATAGCCCAACGTAAAAGTACTTTTTCGCTGTTATACCTGACAGAATCCAGCACCAGCTCCTGCTGCCATTTCCGCTGCAATAGGTATAGTTTTCCTATTATCCCGGAAATGGAAAGACGTCTAATGTAAGTAAGAAGCTTTAATTCCGAATTGATAAACTACTGTACTTCAAATCATCTATCTTACAGTCCATAGCAGTAGAGTACTGCCGAGTTATAGTTAAGATGAAGCTATAATCTTCAGATAGTAAACAGCTTTTACCGATTTCCTTTAAATATGTGGCGAAGTTCATCATTCACAGCTAATTTAACTGCTTTTTCAGGGTTGATTAAAACAATATTTACCGCATAACCTAAATATGATATAATGGATTTACACTGATATTAGTTTCTTTTGGCAAGTACTACAGTACTACTTTTGCATTTTCAAAGCTTAACCTAAATTGGATGATGCCAATTCGCATAATATGTATTAATTAATTGAGATGCTGTCATTCAACTAATACGCGTTGTTATCATTCAGATTTTTAACTTGGAGATAGACAGATAAGACATTTTATAGGTATACTCTAATTGTTGGTTACTATCGGCAAATTACTCTTCTTTTTAGTTAATCACAAAACTGTTTGGATAATCATTTATCTAGTATGCTCTAGCTTTCCAGCTGATTAAAAACGTGTCATCGTAAGCACCTAATTTACACTACATGTTTTTCAATTCTGATTAGCAACAGCACGAAAGCATAACTCATTAACTGTATCGTCACAACACCATAGTTGGGATACGTCGTCAACTATACTACCAAAAAAGTATCATCCTTCATCTAGATAGGAAACATACTCTTCAAATGCATAACAAGAAATAAAATAGTTTGATACAAGAAAAATCGACAGGGTATAGTTTATGCTTTCCTACCTTTATACAGCCCACGGAATCCCTCGCTCCTACCGACTTTTATGAAGCAATCAAGCCTTAAAGTATTCAAGAGCCAACGACAACAAATTATTATTGATTTACTGGTAGGCAAGATTACTGCTACTGTATGAATTTGAAAATTGCTCCGATCAACGAGTGTAAAATGAATTCAATTAAAGAAATGCAATTAGTTGCATGGTTTCAGCGTAATTGCAATCATTGCGTATAATTCAGAGATATGCGTCGCCCAGTGACTCAATATCAAGTACTGTATGTCAGTAAGTTTTTATTGGTGATTCTTACGAGCATCTTTTATTAGGCGCTTAAACTGAAAAGTCGTGTCATACAGCTTGTCTAATTATGGATTAAAATGATGATGAACTGTACTTTCAATATCAAAATAATACTCATTCTCATCACTAAAAATTGAGAAAAGTAGGCATACGTGTATATAGTACAGTAGAAAGGCTATGGCCATGGATTCTATTAATTGATTATTGTAGCTTTTCAAGTGACCGCATTTTATGTGATATAATGGCATTAAGACTAATTGCAATGCCTGAATCTAAACTTTGACGATTAAAACATAAATGGGTATCGTGAATAAAGTAAATAAGCTATATGGAACAAGTGACTGCAATACAAGATCTAATGTACTTGTATTCGGTTCTGGCCATCTATTTCCATCAGTATAGTATGTCGCCAATAAAATGTAATCAAACAATACGCTATTAAAGTAGTGGTAGAGAATCGGAAGTGTTTGTAAATTATTTTCGATATTTACATGATCACTACTATGTGGTGCAACAGCGAAGAATCTGATTGCAAAGCTTGCAATGAGGTCGCTTCAAATAGTCGCTCAAGTCCAGCGGAGCATGGACTGGCGAGTAATGAGTAATTGAAAGTGAAAAGTTTATAAAAAAAAAGGTGGCGATAGATTATATACAGTAGAGTCATTGTAGCGTAGGATAAACTAGCGCTAGCTTGCATCCATCTGAAATAGATTTCAACAAGGCAACCACTGGATTGGAATTTATATGCAAGTCTCTTCTAGTTAATCGTCATCCTTCATCTCTTGCTGATATACAGTACTGTATTGTAGGTTGAGAAGAGAGTAAAAGTAATGGATTTTACGCGTAGATATTGATTAGAAGGTATTTGTTTAACAAGCAATGGTGGCACTTACATGTTGCGATACATGCGTTGACTATGAGATCGCTGCTCTTGCATTCGTGTCTTGACTAAATCCAGCGGATAAGTACAAGTAACTGCCACAGTACCAGCGATAGCTCCATTCAAGAATCGAGGCGTAAAGCTGCTCAAGAAAAACATGATCGATTCTTTAATTGATTTATTTAGTCTGATAGCTTATTGATTCATTCATCTAGTTGTACATGGTTGATGATCGCTACTGTATTCATCCAGCTAACAACAAACGATGCCAGTATCAACTTGTATCCATATCAAAGCGAGCAATGTATAATAATGTGCTAATGTAGGTATCATTATTGTTTGATTTTGGCAAAGTTTAAACAGTAATGACAATAACTGTCCTATTGAGTGATGTCCATTAGGCCCAGCCATAATAACCCCGATTACTCAGATACTCAGCGTAAATAGCTTAAACGATGATACATAATGTCCATGATTGGTAGGATATCGTTGTCGTCGACGATAGACTTGGATAGTATGACTTTGCAGATGCTATCCAAACGTTTGTAATAAGGGTTTAAGAAAGCCTGATTGAGATGACAGTATTACAGGATGATCTTGATGAGAAATTGTTCATATTGATTCAACAGTAGAGAGATGGATATTTTAATGGGTGCCTTACGTTATACTAGAGTAGAAAGGAGATGTATACTTGCAAGTTAGGCAGAATGAATACTAATGAAAGGGTAATGTGCATTTTAATGACATTAGAGTAAGTGTCAAAGTTGTGCATACCAAAGATATTGCCATGGCTATTATGATCGTAAAGTAAGGTTGATTCTTGCAATTTTCTTTCAATCTACAGTATGTCTCTAGCTACGTACAATGTAGTCTATTCATCATCCATTTATAGGATAGATGAAGTAGAAGTAGAGCAAATTAAGGTAAAAAATTGGGGTCCACTGTCTATGAATAGAATAAAGTAGAGCAATAGTGGGCGGGATTACGGCCTAATTCATGAATTCATTTTTAATTGATTAGAGGAGGAAAAAAAATGGATCGATGGAGTCTTTAATCTAGCTAGGTATTGGCCACAATAACTCAAGGCTAAAGTAGTCCACTAGGATTGCAAGTGATAGAGTGGATGATCGATTGTGATCATTCCTGGATTGATATGACGATTGATTACAGTAGCAATCGAGGAAACGCCTTGAATTTTTATAAATTTAATGAGCAATGAGTGCCGACTGTTGTACAGGATGGATTTAATACGGTATCCTATTTTGGGGGGCAGTTTGGATGGAGAATGGCAGGCGGTCATGAATAACTTACTTACACAACAAATGTATACTGGACTATTCATGCACTGTAGGTCAATACGATCAGGATGAGATCGAGTAGCAGAATGAAAGATCCATTTGTCGTTATGGACGCGTATCGATATCCTTCTCCAACATCATGGAGGCATAGTTGATTGGGTGAGAAGGTTAGCTGTATTCAAAAGTTGCAATAGAATGCCTATGCCCTTGTATCCACTGACTGTAGAGCACGATTGAAGTCGACGAATAGGAGAAGCGTCTTTTATCCATTTTGATGGATAGAATGTCAACGGTTGTAGAAGGATAAATCGCTTTTGTTGACGACACCCATACCACTGGTCAATGCATTCAGTCCTGATGAAATGGATTAGCATGTCGCCAAGAAATAGAGAAAGAGCCCAAGGCCCTTCCTTCATTGGCTACAACAACATGATGACGAAGGACTCTGTTGTATTTCATCTTTTTATCCGGCGATTTTATTGCTCTTGCAAGCAGGGACTTTGACTTGTACCAGACAAAGTGAAGAATCATCTGCATTACGCGACAAGAAAGACGGAGTGCAAGTAGCATCTGGAAGGATCGCCTCAACTTGCATCCAGCTCCAATCAAGACTACTACTGACATCGATCTTGACCTGTTCATCCTTGCCAATCTACTCATGCTTAAAATGATGAATTCAACGTATTACCTGTAGATTCTTTCCGATATTGTTTCCGATATGGTCATTGTTGGTTCAATTTAGTGTTGATCAATGATGATAACTTGGACGTCAGAAAGTTTTTCCTGTCCAGTTTACTCCAGTAGCCGACAGCTACCGCCGGACTGCAGACGCTCAATCCTCGACGACTGCGTCGACTCAGTAGAAGCTACCGGACAGGACTGGACGCCATGGATGGTTGTGTCACACCACTGTGTGTGTGTGACACAACCATCATGTGTGTGTGTGACACATTGAACTGACGTGGGGGAGACTACGAGCGAACTCGTCCGTGCTGTAGTACAGTACGTACTGTGTGTGTGTGTCAGGTCATTGAACTGACGTGGGGAGACTACGAGCGAACTCGTCCGTGCTGTAGTACAGTACGTACTGTGTGTGTGTGTCAGTTCATTGAACTGACCTGCAGGAGAATACGAACGAACTCGACTGTGCTATAGTACAGTACGTACTGTGTGTGTGTCAGGTCATTGAACTGACCTGTAGGAGAATACGAGCGAACTCGTCCGTGCTGTAGTACAGTACGTACTGTGTGTGTGTGTCAGGTCATTGAACTGACGTGGGGGAGACTACGAGCGAACTCGTCCGTGCTGTCGTACAGTACGTACTGTGTGTGTGTGTCAGGTCATTGAACTGACGTGGGGGAGACTACGAGCGAACTCGTCCGTGCTGTCGTACAGTACGTACTGTGTGTGTGTGTCAGGTCATTGAACTGACCTTGCAGGAGAATACGAGCGAACTCGATTGTAGTACAGTACAGTACGTACTGTGTGTGTGTGTCAGGTCATTGAACTGACCTGCAGGAGAATACGAACGAACTCGATTGTAGTACTGTACAGTACGTACTGTGTGTGTGTGTCAGGTCATTGAACTGACCTGCAGGAGAATACGTCGACTGTAGTACGTACAGTACGTAATGACAGTCTGTGATAGTTTGACCACAGAAGGCCCAACGTGTCTGTCCGTCCAAGCGTGTTTCGTCCAGGTCTTGTTTAGCTTTAGTATCAATCACCAAGTTGGTTTTCGATAGTATAGTGTATGGTTCAGGTATAAAACGCCAATCAACAGTATGCCTGCGGCATCTAGATCGTAACGATTTGAACCGAAGCGAACCTTTCTCAGCTCTAGTCACTGCTGCCGTCTGTCCATTTCCCCTACAGTCTACACTGTAGAGTCTACAGTATATTCTATCCTACTGGACTGTACACTGTACAGTCCAAGTAACTGAGTGAGTAGCCTACGGCACACCAAGCCAGAAAGGAGATCCGAGTTGGTCGAGGGGGGCCTGCAGTTTTGCTCCATTTGCTAGCAAGGAATCAACTGCAATCCACTGCAAATTGAGTTTAAACTCATCTTTACTTTACTCTCTACCACTGAAATTAATCGCTGATATTCCTATTGACAAAGTGTGGGTTATTATTGGACATTATCCGATCGATTAGACTGCTTATTGACTTGACGAGATCGAGAGTTTGACTGTGTGTGCGCTCATCATGCCGTTAATTGTCCGCGCTGTTGGCCCTTCTTATGTTAGTCGGCGCAAATTGGACCGAAGTATTCGCGATGAATTAGAAGGAGTTTCATTTAATAGCTTAGTAGGTGTATTACAACAACTAAGTAGTCTAGCACATCATACCGAAGAGCTTTTCTCCGAGTTATCCAAAGAAGCGGAAACGATCTTTGAACGAACGTCGACATTGAAAGCGCGTGTGGATAAGTTAACTGTGGTGGTCGAATCGTTAGATCCCAATGAAGAGCAAGGTAGGATCAATCATCATCTCTGATCACCTTTTTCATCCACCATACAACAGCATGATAGTCATCGTATTCAACTTTACCTTGATTCTAATCACGATATTGCTACTGTATCAAGTAGTCTTACTGTCGATAGAGGATTGGATTGATAATTACAATACAAGACAGTCTATCCTACAGTTGTAGAATGGACGGTACGGAAAAAAGAAAAAGTAATTTAGGAGTCAAATGGAGTCATCAAGTAGTCTTACTGTCCATAGAGGAATGGATTGATAATTACAATACAAGACAGTCTATCCTACAGGTATACAATGGACAGTACGGAAAAAAAGAAAAAGCGAATTAGGAGTCAAATGGACAGTCATCAAGTAGTCTTACTGTCGATAGAGGAATAGATTGATCATGCAAGATCGTCTATCCTACAGGTGTAGAATGGACAGTCATCAAGTAGTCTTACTGTTGATAGAGGAATAGATTGATAATACAAGACAGTCTATCCTACAGGTGTAGAATGGACAGTACGGAAAAAAGAAAAAGTAAGTTAGGAGTCAAATGGACAGTCATCAAGTAGTCTTACTGTCGATAGAGGAATAGATTGATCATGCAAGATCGTCTATCCTACAGGTGTAGAATGGACAGTCATCAAGTAGTCTTACTGTTGATAGAGGAATAGATTGATAATACAAGACAGTCTATCCTACAGGTGTAGAATGGACAGTACGGAAAAAAAAAAAAGTAAGTTAGGAGTCAAATGGACAGTCATCAAGTAGTCTTACTGTCGATAGAGGAATGGATTGATAATACAAGACAGTCTATCCTACAGGTATAGAATGGACAGTACGGAAGAAAAGAAAAAGTGTAGTATTAGTCAAATAGAGAGTCATCAAGTTGTCTTCAATGCCTTCTTGATCAACACATACAGTAGCAATGTCATTATCATGCGTAAACTATCTATCAAGACTCATTCTTCACTTCAATTCGATCTATATTTTTCATCTTTTAGTTGCTTTAGCAAGTGCTAATATGAGAAAACCTTTCAAAAGTACGTATACTTCGGAACAACAAGTCCTATCACGTTCCAATCTTCCTACTGCTTTACTTAAAATCTACGATGATTCTAAAAGACCCCCAAATTTGAGGTTAATGAATGCTTATCGAGACGACAACAAAGATGCCATGAAATTTTATACCGATCCGCAGTACTTTTTCGACCTTTGGGCTAAATCTGTTGTAGAAGAAACTCAAAAACGACAGGTATACAAACTTACAATCAAGGATAGCGTAGGATAGATCAGCTCATCACTGACTGGTTAATGACATTATCTTCGTGGATTATACAGTACTATCTGTCATACAAATTCATTTTCACTAGGGCTGCTCAATCTCATCATTAGTCTTACTAGCCAATATTGTAATAGTCTACACATTGCAATAATATTATTCTCCATTCAATTGATATATCCTATTGAGAATACGTGTAGTTTACTATAATGTCAGTCAATCTAAAATTCCAGTTTTCCATTCAATATGACTGCTCAATCTTACTAGCCCGATAGTACAGCAATGGAATAGAATTGCGATGTGATTATTCTGTGATGTAACTTATCCTACAGCACAGTACTGTATTGTACTTGTAGTAGTAAATGTGCCTATTTTACTATAATGGCAAAATGAAGAGTTAGCAGGGGAATAATATTTATCCCTTTAAAAAACGATGGAATGGAGCGATTTTCACCAAGGACTTCAAACCAATTGTATCGTTGTTTAAATAGCCTATAAATTATAGCATACAGTGAGTTATTCCATAGTCAATTTCTTTTCTTTTCCTTTACTTATCTCTTTAGAAAGCGCAACGCGATAAAAAACGAAATCGTCGTGAGAAAAAAATTACCCAGATAGAAAAGAAAGTTTACAATGCACAAGGAGTCGAATTTGGTGATGTCGAATATGTTAAGCAGCCTCCTGTCACTGTAGCGCCGACAACACCTATTGAACCGAGTCGTTATGAGGACGATGACGAATTAGAAAATCAAAATACTGAAAAGAAAAGTGGAGATCAAAGTGTAGTGATAGCAGAACACCACAGTATTCATTACTTTCATACACCAAGTCATGAAGTAGAAGAGGAGGATGATGATGATGATGATGATGATGATATACCCACTCCTCGATCGCCTGTGCTGCCGCCACCACCACAGCCATTTTCTCTTGATGATCTTGAGGATCAATTTGAATATAATCAACATCAGAGATTGGCTGATCAACAAGTAAATCAACAACCACAAAATACCAACCGGATAATAAATAATACAAGCAACGTTACTGCACAATCTACTAGTGTCAATTTTGCAAATAATGTACAAGAAATAGCTGAACCGCCAGTCAATAGTCATCTTCACTCAACGTTATCACTTCCTCCTTATCCCTCACCTATCCCAGATCAGTCGATAATAAATCAAGAGGAAGAAAATGTACAAGTTCATTTTGCCCTTCAATCGTCAAAGGCAGACACGGATGATTTACACGATATTCCTCAACCGACGCTGCCTCCACCTCCACCTGAATCAATGATTGCTCAAGTTACGCCTAACTTTGATGAATCCTCTGCGCTTGCAGCAAAAGTACAACAGCCAAAAATAGCATCTGAAGGCTCTGACCTACTAAGAGCCATTAGAAGCAAGAAACTGCGTAAAGTGCAAGATGAAGGGCCAGAAAAGAGAGAAAGGAGACCAACGGGCATATTTGGTAAAGATGTCGAGGGTCTCTTGAAACGTCGCCAATGGCTACAAGTTAGCTCTGATGAAGACGATGGCGAAAATAGTAGTGCAGAATCGGAATGGAATGAATCCGATGATGGTGGCTACTTCAACTAGCAAGCCATGCCAGCTGTCTTATTGTCACGTAGTGAAATTCATTTTGACTCACTTGAAGGAAAAATATCCAATCATGATTACCAGTGAATGAGTCAACACGATTCAATCTACTAACTATCTTAATCTTTGAGAACTCAATTCTCTGTATCAACAATTTTCAACATTGGCGATTAATGTATGTATAAAATTTATTCTTGAAATCGTCAATCATACTTGGATAAAAATTGAATAACATGGCTAACAGTTTTGATCTTCATTGATATTACCGAAAGCATTTATCCGACTTTCTAATTCAATTCTCGGACAATAAATAGCATATAACGTTGTATTATTAGTGCGATATTGATTGTTAATTATACAATATAGATGCAAGTGGCGTGTGCTATTTATTTAAAATGGTGATTATAAAAATAATGGACTAATGTTAAAATATAAAAGTATACCCTATGTTACTCATCTTAGCAATATACAACAACCCAATTTCCTCTTAAACTTTACTTGCAATTCTAAAATCAAAAATCAATCAAATTCTTTTTTAATAGCATAGCTTTATTGCCATGATAATGATGATGATGAGGAAATACAGTATGTTGAACTGATGTTAAGATGATATCGTATTGATACAATACACAATGAATGCATTAATATAAAAAAATTTTAAACATTCTCCTTGATGTAGCCATTGCTTAATTAAAAGACTATTTTATAGATGCTTGTCTACCGACATATCGGATAAACATAGCACAAGCAACCATTCGAAGGAAGAGAAGACGTCATTAAATTATTTTACCTGGTACGCCACAATTATAAACATTGTCTAATCTATATATACAGTACAACACATGAGCGTACGTACAAATGATGCATACTTTTTTTACACGAATACAAAAATCCACATAGAGTATTTACAAATGTGGAAATGATTCTTTATCACGCTTGGTCTATAGTTATAACAACTACAAAATAACAAATAATGCGTATTTACAACTTTCCAGCAGTCTAAACAATCACATAGTTACCCCAAATAGCAAACAACAAACTAATTGACTTTTATATTACTGACTAAATTTAGTGTGTGTATCAATATCTTGCATTGAGATAACTTTTATACAGTAGTAGATTTCATTTTAATGGCATCACCTTTTCAATTTTATACTAATTTTTGGCAATATGAAAAGTAATATTGAAATTATCTTAAAGAGAATATTTCTTGAATAAACAGTTTATTAATATCATCTCCTGAATTCATGGAAAACCTTCGTTGCTTAAAAAGTTCGTGCATTGACTATGAATAATTTATCTTCTTCTTGCTAAATAATTTGAAAATAAAAAAACATAGTTACACATTTCTTCAACACATACTGTTGGTATACGTATCTACTATATACATATAGAGTATATATTATTTATATACGAGTACTTTATTGAAGGAATAAAGATGGTGACCAGTATTACACTTACTTTTATAATTGCCATCAGTCTCTTAACATTACCGATTGCAACAGTTTTACTCACTAATGGATTGAAGACAGCATACAGTTCAAAAGTTTCGGATATCTAATAAAAGTTTGAATACAATATTTACTATCATTAATTAGAAATGAAAACTTAAGCTGTGAACAAGTAATCAAAGCAATACACAGAATTAAATGTAGTAGTACAGTATTAATATATCTTGTATAACGTTAATTCTATGAAACATTTCGGCATTAATGAAGTAATTACTCTAGACTGATTAAAATACTGTATCATTAAATTCTTCCTTCCTACAACGAGCTATGATTAAATTTTGAACTACCATATTTTATCTGGGTAGACAAAAAACAACCAGAAATATTAAATTTGTATTAAAATTAAACTCAAAAAATGTCATATCAGATGCAAACTTTCAGTAATCAATCAAAACTGTTACTCTGATCTCAAATTATTCCTGCTTATACGCATGGAGTTAAATAAAATGAGCATACCCATCCTAGCAAGGCTTCTTGACTTCTTAGGCGATATACAAGTTTTAAAGGCTTTGCACTAGCATGCATACGATGGTGGAGGTACTTGTAAAGCTCTTGTAATCTGAAAGGTTAACATTGTACGATAAGTTATGATTGAGAAATAACTCTAGAAATATTATTATTCAATACAGCAGTTATATTGATACTATTTCATACCGTGTCTGTTCTTCTACAGTATTATATGGTGGTCTGCATTTCGGAGAAACAAATTGGCCATAGGTTTTACTTTTGTATAAAAAGTGCCAAATTTCACTGCCGATAATGTAATCTTAAGCAGTGAGAAACCATCAATTAATTACGTGAATGCTTGATATTTTAATAACTAAATTTATATACCCAGGCCGTATTTATTCGTAGTTATAGCTTCACTTATAACCGGAATACAATTGCTCTTTACCGTTAAACGCTAAAAAAAAGCCAAAAATATTAGCAAAGTAGCATTTGTAAATCATAGAATATTTCCACTAAGCACCTTTCTACAGGTTAGTACAATAAATACCTTGATGATCTTTTCTCTACTTTCCGCTAATTCATAAAATGCATCTTTATCGGTTGATAAAAGAACAAGACAGGCTGGACACTCCTCCGAAAGATAGGAAATATGCGCATGAAGGTACCCACTAAATTTCATTTTAAGAAAGAATGCGAGCTATTTAATTTAATCCCTTTATTCTATCGATACCATGTAACAATACTCTATATTTAATCCTTTTGATAATACAAAATTTTCGTATCACCTATCATTAAATTTTGGTAAACAAATTGGTAGCCACGATTCACAAGATTGAAATGATGTTGATGCATTAACCAGGTTGATTATTAAGTGTAAATCTAAAAGAATTATTTTAACACAAACATTATTTTAAACCATTTCCAACTTAAAGTTACTCGTATATAGTATTCAATAAGTGGTGCAAGTAATCGTTAAGATTGTATTCGTCGTATACATATAATATATTTCAATACCTGCAGGGTGTAAATTGTATTTTTTAGGTCTAACAAGCGTTATCAATTGATTTTCTGTAATCAAAATCGCAAAGACCAAACTCTACAAGAATGTAATAAGGAAAGATTTACTATGCTCAGTATAATAGGGTAATTTTTATCATTGCATCACAATTCCATTATACCTTAGTCTTGGCATGCTGCAAACTACTGGCGATGCTATCCCTGTAGTGAACCGGTATTGGAAGACATTGTACCTACAAGTATCCATTATATAGAATATTAAATAAAGTCAAACACCAATTTTAAAAGCTAACTGAACAGCAATAAGTACAGACCGATTCAAGAAAAAAGCTCGGATCTCTGTCCATCATATCTAATAAATTATGCAGAAATTTTTCCGTTCCTGTAAACAATGATCACACACATTAGCCGTTTAGTTCAATCAATTTTTTACAACAACTAGACGAACCTCCGAGTAATTTTCGTAAATCGTAATTACGTAATTGTTCAAAAATCTTTTCCAATTGAGCACCAGTTAAAACGCTCAATATTTGATGATAAACATATGTTAATTGTAATTGCAGCTATAAAATCAAGAATAATATGATAATCTTTAAAATTCTCCAATAATATTCAATTAAATTGTTATCTATTTCGCTATTTGTATAGACAGGCGTCAAAAAATATTATTTAAACCTGTGGAACGGAGTCTTCCAATGAAGACACGGCTACTAAAATCAAGGGGCCTTTAACAAGAAAGACGTACTTGCGATTACCAGCAACCAAAGACCTACAAAAGAAGAAAATGTACTTATTAAATTGTAATCTAGAATCTTTTCACGAGTTTAAAATTGAAATAGACACAGTAATTCAGTACTGTAGCGTATCATCAGAATCTTGAACGAAAGAGACCAATGCCTGCATGACACCCATAATTGTCACCAATTTCTCTTCATTTCCGTATCTGTAAGTATTTCAATATGTATCACATAATCACGAATAATTTTTGCAATATAATTTTCATTACTGAGAGATGGGATAAACAAGACGATAAGAACGATTATCATGATTAGATTGCCATTATATTAGAATGATTAAATGATATTGTATGATTGCTGACATTACTATCGACTATTATACGGTTTAGATATGATTACACTATTGGAATAGTTCTAGGATTTTATATGGAAAGAGGCGATATTAACCGTATTGACAATAGTGTCACTATAGCGGATTGTTGATCCCGATAAGTCACTCTTAACGGTGAGAAATTTCCTCGAAATGTATGTTTTGAATAGCAATTGCAAGGAAAACTAACAATGTTGCATAGTACAAATATCATATCCTATGGCTCATTTCGCTAGTATATTAGCAAGTTCAATTAAGATTTTAGCTGTAGCGGTAATCGTATACGTAGTAGTAGACGAGTGTTCATCATCCTACAGTAGGTTGAAATTTTTAATAGTATACTTTGTCATTTGAAGTAAGAATAATTACTGTATCATATATAATTTCAGAATTAACGGTTCTATAGTTTACTAAACGAATGCATTATCGACACACCATCTAATCTGTCACGCAAACATTTACATATATGAAATATAAAAATAACAAGCTTAATCACTCTCAATACCTACGATTCTCATCCCTTGTTGTCAATAATACTCAACGATATTTTCTACGATATTGTTACTCACAAATACGCTTATACAGCTACTTTTTTAATTAAGTATGTAAATAAGCATAATAGTATAGGTACTGTAAGAGTTTGTAATTGAAAACGAATCAAGAGATGTATTTTACTTGGCTTGTAAAAATTCTAACCTGCTATAAATAGGTTTTCCAGCTTCGCTTAGTATAAATATATGTTTATTAATCTTACTCCAGTCGGGATGACTAACGTCTATCAGGATCAACGTAAAAAAACAAAGAATTGTTTCTTTGCTGGCAAAGCACCAATACATAGAACTACACATATTACCGAATTGTTTATGTGCAGTAATTTTATGTAAAATAAGGCCTTACCGATAGTCATTCCTTGCTTACGAATAATAGCAGCTATTTTATCAAGAATAAGAGAGAAATAATACCTTATTTCTATCCGTAATCATTCAATAGTTAATAAATCTAACCATCAAAGTCCAATGAAGCTGATTTTATACCAATAAAATTTAACTAAAAATAAAAGGTTAAATTTATTGCTACCTTCATTAGAATGGATAAAGCCATCCATTTCATGTTCTTGATCACTTTGTATAGCAAAATTGACATTGCCATGACTTGTTAAAGTAATTTCACTGCTACATTTCGTGAAACCAGAAAGAAGTATCAATGCTTAATACAATGCACAATAATGATTATGAATATTGTTATAAGAAATTTTTACATTGCTTCATAGAACCTTAATTACTACCTAGATAAGACGCAGTATTCAAGGCAACATGCAGGAAATCGACATCATTATACAGTACAGTGATTATACAATGATTATGAAGTTAAATCTATTGCGAAATTACTGTTCATGAATACAGTAAGATCTTTATTATTTGGCTAAGGGGCAGATAAGAAAAGAAGAAATGATCATGTCCATCTTCTCGATTATATGAGCATTAGATTATAATAACACCGTCAAAATATCTAATATAATACTACCGTGTAGGATGTATAAAAAGCGATGATCGGGACAAAATGAGTATAATCTGTTAAAATTTATTCATGTTTGAATAGCTGTAATTGAAATACTTTGCTATTACACCTGCAATACGTATACTGTAGTATTGGCGATTAGGAATACTGGTTAGACTACTTCGATCAAAGCCATGTTATCAAGTTGTAAATTTATCCATTTTACTGACTGTATGAAAAATGAAACCGCTATGAAAATGCAGATAAGCAGTTTTGATATCAGCAGATGTTGTATTTTATACTGCGTCAATAACTTACTCTTCCGGCTGCTTCTGGCTATCTAGGATGGATCCAGTAAAGAATAAGGCAGTGGTAGAACTGTAAATAATCAAATTTAAACCGCAAATGAAGATCGTACTAATAGCATTAGAACAATACTATGATACAGTTACAGCCTGGAGTTATTAAAATTGAGATATACTGTACTATTCGATCGCTTAGATAGATAATGATTACATTGATAACCAATATTACAGTATTCATTAACACTACAGTACTGTATCAAGTTCATTTTTATGACCATTCCGATTAGAAGCCATCATTTTCTTGAATAATTCTGTATGATTTTAAAAGTTATGGAGTGTATGATATATGATTCCGTAAGTAGGTAGCTTTTACTACTACTGTAGAAGCGTATGGCAGTGATATCTAGTCCATCACCTTCAGCGATCAATTGAAATGAGCAGGCTCGATAGCGTTCATGACATAGTACTAAATCGATTGACAGTAGAAATGTGGTATAGCCTTGAATATTTCTTTATGAGTAACATTCTACGGTAATAGTCTGACTGACGTAGTAACGATAATTAATCAATAGAGGATTGCAATAGTACACAGTTCATAACGGATCCCTTGATGGTTCTAGAATTGATGGCATAAATGGAGCTGTCCTACTATTGATGCAAAGTTTATCCGTTATGTCATATCCATGTATAGCTGACCTATCATCGTTACCAACTTCTTGGCCTGTCACTTGATCGCTTACAGCTAGTGATGTATTCGCTATAGCTGTGGCCAGGTTCTCGCTTGATATATCTTGGTTAGCAGCATCCATCATGTCCCGATTCGATCTATCTCAACTACTTTCCGCCTCGATAACTCTTGTCTATAAATATTATTAATGGCTGCTAACTGGTGCACTACCGTAAGCGTCGAATTGATAGTATGATACACTTGGATGATCGAGTAAGAAATCAATTCAAATCAAGTTATCAGACTACAACCGATGTCGTTGAAAATGGGTAATGGTGAAAATAGAAGCGATAATCTCCGTAGTATTACTGAATTTGCCAACAGAAAATAGAAAGCCAACCGGCCAATAGCCACATTGAAATTCAGCCAAATGGATGAGCTGGGAGTGCCTCCACCTACAGCACCAACCGTGTATTAAGACATGAAGGAAGTCGTTAGTGCAGTATCACGGTGGTGTGCACGACTGCCCATGCGTGTAACGTGCTGTGTCTGCGACGACTCGAAAAAAAGACCTTCTCTAGTACTGTAGTCTACAGTATGGCTGTGTGCATTATTAAAGCAGTAAGGTGCCAGGCACCAAACTGTAGTGTCTCCAAGTTCATGATCGGAGACTAGCCATCTTGGATAAATTAGTAGAAGTAATTTATGCAATATGGACTTAGAACTACAGCTTACTATACTCCAGTTTCAGCCTAGCACAGTACAGTAGGTGTATTGAGCATTTGAGCAACAATATTTTTTCCATTCTCTAGTACTGCATGGTCATAACGAAACTATGGCCAAGACATCAATTTTGCAAGACCTTCTTTACTACTGTAGTCTACAGAATGGCTGTGTGCATTATTAAAGCAGTAAGGTGCCAGGCACCAAACTGTAGTGTCTCCAAGTTCATGATCGGAGACTAGCCATCTTAGCACAGTACAGTAGGTGTATTGAGCATTTGAGCAGCAATATTTTAAAAAAATATTGCTGATATTTTTTCCATTCTCTAGTACTGCATGGTCACAACGAAACTATGGCCAAGACATCAATTTTGCAAGACCTTCTTTAGTACTGTAGTCTGCAGAATGGCTGTGTGCATTATTAAAGCAGTAAGGTGCCAGGCACCAAACTGTAGTGTCTCCAAGTTCATGATCGGAGACTAGCCATTTTGGATAAATTAGTAGAAGTAATTTATGCAATATGGACTTAGAACTACAGCTTACTATACTCCAGTTTCAGCCTAGCACAGTACAGTAGGTGTATCGGTGGCGGTGTATTGAGCATTTGAGCAACAATATTTTTTCCATTCTCTGGTACTACATGGTCACAACTAGACTATGGCCAAAACATCAATTTTGCCAAGTTGCTAAAATTGAACAATTAGACTGAGGATTTCTGTACTTGCCTGACTCTAAAAAGGAATAAACATGGAATCATGAACGGTGCTTCTGGCCGTCTAAATATCTCCAAAATATGACAAATACATTCTACAGTACTGTACAAGTGTACATCCTTTTGATTTGTACATGATCATTTATTTTATTTTTGGAGACATTAACCAAAACGACAGTGCGGTACTGTAGTCTTGAAACCACAATGATGACATCAATTTTGCTAATCATGCAAAGTTAACGACGAGAAAAGACACTACCATATTATTAGTGCAGTCTAGCAATGAGTGACTGAGTTGATCGATTATGATATCCAGTAGCAAAAATCATGTCACTTCTAGAAGCCAACAGCACCACCTACCAAAATCATCGGACCGAAACTGAGCACGCCCATTACATCAGTTTGCGCTTTGATTTATTTGTTTACTTACAGCAGGTCGATTTTCGCGTATAGAGATCTTGCGAGTTTAGGGCCTAACTTTACACTACTGCATCCAACTAGCTTATTACCAAAGTATAATAGTCTAGGTGGTCTGGAATAGAAAGCTGGATCTGTTTTCACAAGCTTCCTAAATGGATAAATTTTATGGAAGAATCAAGGACTAATAACCCTGCTTTCCATCCAATAATGATACGTCGTACTAATTCACCAAGGCCGCTAGACCGCTCTCATCCTAATTTTCTCTTAGGGTTGAATTAACATGAAAAATAAAACGCGACCTTGAACAGACCTACTGTACATTACAAACAATCTATGGACCCAAAATTAGGCAATAATACGCGTATAATAATTATTATAATCAACAAGAGTTCAAGATCGAAATAACGCCGCGTTGGCGTAAACACGCAGGTAATGTACTATTCATCATCCCATCCTTTATTTTTCTTGTTAAAGGTTAAAGGAGAGTAATCTACAACGAAATATCCCAAGCCGTACACATATGTAAGCTCATACATTTATTATGTTTCAAGTTATCATACATTAGAGTTCCGCTTTCATTAGCAGGATGTAAATAGAATTATTCCAAAAATGTTATAAAAATCAAAAGTACTGTATTATAAGCGTGAGGACATCCATCAGAAAATCGATAGAAAAATTTTCAACTATAAAAAATATTAGCTCTAGATCTTATATAGTTTCAAGGGTAAAGTGTGCATTGTAAACAGTTTTACGTGGAAGTGAATTGTTGCCAAAAAATATCCTCATAATTCTATCATCACCATCAAAATAGCGAGCGAAAATAACTCCATCCAGGCTACGTAGTAGAGATATTATTAAGTTCATTTTCAGTCCAAGTCAAACACTAGTTATAATCATAGAATAAAACTAATATAGCAGGTATCTCTCATAATAATATTACTGTTTTCTTTCACCATTGTTACAACCCCTGTTTCTAGAGCTATCATTGCAATCGCTAATAGTAGGAGATGCACCATCTGCTTGTTTATTTCTGTGATGTTGAGGGCTTTCAAAACGACTACCGACTTGCAATGAAGAGCTGTTATTACTACTAATTGTTTGCTGTATGGAGTTATAATAATTCGGCTGGAGAGATGCCGCTAAGCCACTATCCACTGTCGTAATGTGGACGGGTAGCATGGGATTATTCGTTAATTGAGGATTGACTATTCTAGCAGAAGTAGTTATACCACGATTGGACATGGCTTTCACAACTTCAGAATCGGTTACCAATATTTGTTGCGGGATAGCAGTAATAGGTGTACCTGACGTTGCAGCAGTAGCGGTTGGCTCGCTAATAATAAAACAGCAATGCGATCCTACGGTAACCACTGGAGCTAAACGCCAAGGAGAAAGCCTTGTTGCAACTTTTGTAGTTGGTAAGGCTTGCAGATTGCTAGATTCTCTTCCTAAAAGTAATTTTAAAACAATTTAATTTAATCCTATACGTTAACTAAAGAGGCACACAATACAAAGAGCACATAATAGTTATTATCAGTATTACTGTTTCCTGTCATCTTATCCCAACTTGTCGTAGGACTTGAACTATTTCTACCACTATTATTATTGTTACTGCTTGTCCAACTTTTATTCGACACTAGTTTCAGAGAAGATAAATTGTATTGTCAATTTAAACCCATTACATATACTGTAAGTGTACCACATCAATATCAAACTTACCATTCTGTAGATCTACATCAGTTCGTTGTTGGGTAGGAACATTTGTCATCAGTAAATCTGTTGCTGGTGCCAGAGCCACAGTAGGATAAGTTTGAGTTGCAGTAGTATACCAAGTTGTATTCGGAGAAACTGCGGATTGAGTGTTAGTCAAATCTAATAACATGCGAATGCATTGAAAGTTAATTGTCTTTGTGAATATAAAATGCAGTAGACGCGTACATATGAAACCAATACTTAGGTTTATAGCACAAATATATGTAGACTGTATTATATCATTAATTACAATAATTATGATCAATTATATCTTTATCGTAATTTTCTACGCAAATCATGGCTAATACACTGTAGCATATAAATAAAAGCTGCACTGTTATATTACTATTTTATTGAATAACCTTCAAAGCCGAATTGCGTTCTTTTTCGAGGACTGCCGCGGTAATTACTTGGATCTTATGATATTAAAGAAAGAAAATGATAAAAATTTTAGAATGCAATGTTAGGTTACTGTTAAAGACGAAAAGCATTAATCTACAAACCTCCACCACACAATATATACTGCAAAGATTGACATCTATGTAGTCACTAGTAGCATATTGCCTTACAGCTCCATCCATACCTAGTTTTATTCTCTTGCTTGAGTTTTCCCTATTAAGATGTGTTATATAAGACCTTTCAGGGTTGTTTTCGGTATCATCCTCGCGATTGCTAATTCTACTACTGTCTAGCAAATTGGGCGTTGTGGGCTTTTCATGCTTTTTCGGACAATCCATGATATTAGTACGCGGCAGTAGAACAGATTTTGTCGATACAATGACATCAGATCTTGCATTCCTTGCAGATAAATATCTTAATGACTGTACGGCAGCGCGTTCTGGGCTATTCATTGCGTTATATGGCTTCTCGGTGTCTGAAAGAAGTAACCGATCTTGCTTATTCATCAGAATACTATAAAGTAAACTACTTCAATGAATTCTACTTTTAATAAAATTTGTTAGTACAAAGAGCACTACCTACTGGATGAGAAAGCTTGCAACTGATAATTGACACTGTAAAGTAAAATCATTAACGGTAACCATACCTGGAAGCGTACTGAAATTAAGTCCTATCCATTTAAACGCCGGTTTCTTTCCCTTTGTGCATTCAGTTACATGAGTCTTTTCAATCATCCGAAGACTTGATAAAATGTTGGCTATGTCATACAGTCTTCTCACTTTAGCTATGAACATAGCACAAGAGAATTAACTATCATCACTTGACCAAGCTAAACATACATTATTACCCATCGTTATCATGTTATTAAAGAACAACAATTTACTTTTAAATTTAGACGAGTCCTTCTCGGCTGGCTGCTTCCCGATTAGGACCTGTGCTGCTTCATCTAAGGTGACTATCTCCGTCTGTTTCCGAAAAAATGACACAATTTGTCATTAAAGGCCGAAAATAATTACTCAACGATATCCTATTTCGTATATTGGCAATTACCGCGGAAGCCATAAACATCATGATAAATTTTTGACTTAGCATCCCCAACGATTTATCTTTACGGGCGTTTTCTACGTATCAATCAAAGCGAAAAACAGATTATCTTTTATTCTTTAGGTCAGTTATGATTGATGGATTAAGAAGCAATGATGAATTCCAAATACAACATGTCAACAATATAAGGCATAAGTGTGAACGTTGTATCAGTACCTTTTCTAGCACTGGAAGAATCTTTTTTAGCTTCCATTGGAGAAAGTTTCTTTGAAAGCTAAAATATAAGAAATAGATATTAAGCTATATCAAACAGATGTACGTTTATAGATTCAAAATGCTCTTTGAAATACTTTCTCAATAGCTTACATTCATTTCCTGCCTAAAACTGATGTTACTAAAATCTATGTTTTGCAATCCTTGCGTTGCAGGTTTCAAATGCGCCTAGAATAATTCACAAAGGTATGATTATAATGGATGATGATAATAATAAGGGCATAACGGCATTTATTGGTCATACTTAAAATACTAAAAAAGTATAAATACATCTACACCAAGTGTGACAGTGATCAAAAAGCAAAGATTAATCATTTTTATAAGAATATCATTGTTAGCGGTACTATTGTGATATTATGATTGAGGTCTTGTACAGTATCGTAAATCTTTACCCTTAATTTGGCTAAATTGGATGCAATTTTCCTTTTTCCATGCCAAACATAGGTATTCTTTCCTAATCGACTGACGATTTCTACACTTTCCAGTACATTGACAATATCATAGATTCTTCGCCGTTCCACCTCTATATCAGGAAAATTCAAATTTATAAGTACCCAGCCAGTGTAATTTTAAAAAATTGAGACCAACTTTATTTATATGTTGTTATTTTTCTTGACTATTTTATTACATTATAAAGACTTACGGAGCTCCTTCGCTACATGATCTAAACAAATTTCAATTTCTTGTCCTGGAACTGAATTTTCGGGATAACGTGCTAAAAATCTAGAAATAGCAAATCATTGTTTAGAAAGCAGACAGGTATGATGTGTAATATCCTTTACAGGAGTTTTATTAATAGTATCGTCTTTATTTTGTATCGGCTAAGTCGCAGTGCATTAGACAGATCCATCTGATTAATTGATTACTTTTTTATAGTGCTGCGTAATCATCGATATACTGTTGTATACTGCGGGTGTAGTATGAAAGGAAGTCTAGGATGGAAGATATGCCTTTAGCTTTGAGTTGCAAATACGTCTTCTATCATTTTATGTAGTATCATGTGCAACTACCTACAGTTTTGTATATTGGACAATATGAATTCAAAGTAAATTGAGGCGAGCATTACACTGCAATGCTTTCCTTTATACCTCGAACGCCACTATTGATTGCAACATCGTCAGTAGAAAATCAACGACTTGGGGATATCTTGACATTCTTTTTACTAGCTACTTGATGTTTGTATTATGAAAAAACGTACCATTGCTATACGTACAGTATATCACGAATAAAAAGTGTAGTATGACGATCAATTGTAGCCTAGATGGAAAGAATAGTCCAAATCAATTTCATGGGATTTGTCTGAATACATTTGCAGTACTACATCTACGGGTGCAAAAAGTCATTCTCTCTAAGAATCAAATTAACGTAGAAGAACAGTCATGCTTGTGTTGAGTACTGTATGACTAGGTATTTTTCTATTATTGTACGGTCCGCATAGAATTTGGCCTATTTGTGTGTAAATTTGAATCCATTACTGCATGAGTATTCATGGACACTGGCAATTTTAGCAATATTGTAATGTAATGAAAGAGTGGATAGCAACATTGGCGAAGAATTATTAAGATTGAGGGTGTGTATGAAATGGTATTGGAAATGGAAGTTTTTTACAATGGTGATTATGATGGAAAACTGTACAGTAGGTTGGGAATGTCGTCTCCTACAGGAACACAAAGTTAATTTATAATTTACTGTTGAAGGATGAAAGGAGAGGAAAAGTATTGTTGAATCATTGGATTGACCCCATTTTATAAATGTAAGCAAGATGCAATTTTGAAAAGGTTATCGATCCTTGGCAATACCCTACCTCTGACATAGCAAGCCTAGCGATTTTTCCTTTCTATTAAAACAAGTGGTTGATTTTGCTTCTGTTGTTGAATCTCCTGATTCTGAACAATTACTACTAGAAGTTTGCAATTCAGTGAAAAGACGCTTTCTTTCTTCACGATTTCTCAAAACTGGGCTGACAGCAGATGCCAACATTTTCAAATTGGCAGTTGGCGTCAATGGTACAGTAATATCCTCAGCACGACGAATACTTTTTTCCGGTGTGGTTGGCGGGATTTCTTGTAACGATGTGCTGATTGGCGTTGGTGAAGAGCATTTGTTGATAGCATCGATACTACACGATGCCATGGTGGTGTTGGTGAAACGATAAGATAAATTGCTATCCTGTGCCAATGGCATCGGGATAGGATCTTGTACTGGATTATTGGTATACATTGCGCTTTAGCAAGTAGAAGACGATTTCCAATTGGAGCTGAATAATGTTGTTTAGACAATCAATGCTAGCCTAATCTCGCCTACTACAGTACAGTCTATCGACGGCGATGTTGTCGACTCAGCTGGATGTGCAAAGTTAATGGAGGAAAAAGGATCTCTAATTCCGCTTGTAGTCGACCAATTGACAGAGAGAGAGAGAATGCAAACTCTAATATCCAATGGCAATTGATAGTATCATATTGTGTTGTAAAAGCGAGCGTTGATGGATGTTGATATCAATTGGATCGCCTACTCGCGATCGATGGATTCTTGGCGCGATACAACTCAACTTTGGTCAGCACGATGATTCTGTCGTTTCAGTGGATGAAGTTTGCGTTCTCTACTCAATTACCAATAAGTCAAGCTGTAGCAATAGCATTGATCCACTGGAAAGAGAAGAAAAAGGAACCTATGGATTGATTTAGAGTGGATTAATCTGGCAATCCCTAATCGCGATGAAGGAAATCCACGCCTGCAGCTCAATGCAAACTCAGTATTAAATCGACCACTCGCTCTATAGTTAATATGGAAAGCCGAGTTAGGCCCCCCAGTTGTAGTGGATTACTATGGTGCAAGTGGAAGCTGTTGGTAAATGGAGGGAAGTCGAGCTGTGTGATGGTGGTGAAATGCAGGAAAGCTGGCTTGAAAACACCGATTCCACTGTCCTATGCACTCATGACTGAGTACATGGATAGTAACAAGTCGAGACTGCCTTCAGTCTAGTTTGTGTATTATTATGCATCATCAAAACCAGTCAAGCTCCGTTGGCGCTTGACTGGTTTTTTGAGAATTCGCGCGAAAAGACGGTGGATACAGCGCAGGCGTGAATGATTTAAATTGCAGCCAATCACAAGCCTTGATGAATGGATGCAGCGTGTACAGTGTCCAGTAGGCCGTGATACCCTGTACTGTACACTGTACACTGTAGTCATAGGGCGCTAGTCTACAGTAGACCTGACAGCGCTACACTGTACCATGGCTCTTCTTCGCCTCCTTCCATCTTTATACAGTACAGTACAGTACTGTAGAGAGCGATACCCCGTACTGTACACTGTACACTGTAGTCATATTCCATCTTCATAGGAGAAGCGTGTACAGTGTACAGTACAGCGCGACACCCCGTACTGTACACTGTACACTGTAGTCATACAGTAGGGCGCTAGTCTAGACCTGACACTGTACCATGCTTCTTCTTCGCCTCCTTCCATCTTCCTAGGAGAAGCGTGTACAGTGTACAGTACAGTGCGATACCCCGTACTGTACACTGTACACTGTAGTCATACTGTAGGGCGCTAGTCTACTGTAGACCTGACACTGTACTGTACTGTACCATGGCGCTTCTTCGCCTCCTTCCATCTTCATAGGAGAAGCGTGTACAGTACAGCGCGATACCCCGTACTGTACACTGTACATTGTAGTCATAGGGCGCTAGTCTACATACAGTACAGTAGACCTGACACTGTACCGGTGCACCATGGCGCTTCTTCGCCTCCTTCCATCTTCATAGGAGAAGCGTGTACAGTACAGTGTACAGTACAGCGCGATACCCCGTACTGTACACTGTACATTGTAGTCATAGGGCGCTAGTCTAGACCTGACACTGTACCGGTGTACCATGGCGCTTCTTCGCCTCCTTCCATCTTCATAGTACAGGAGAGGACAGCGACTCTGTCGTTGTAGATTAACCTTAATGGATGGATAAATAATGAATTCCTCAATTCATTGATGCGTATCCTGTCATGACTAGTATTTTCTATGGTTTCAAAAAATGGCCATTTCTATTTTACACCAAACAGTCTATTGATAATAGCCCCTTGTGTACTTGACGTACCAAATAGTGACATCATTTTTGTAATAATCGATGCACTCATGGTACACAACGTTGAGTACATTACAAAAGTTGTACACTTGTATATAAAGGCTAATCGCTCCAAATCTCCAAATACAGCAGTCTCCAACAAAAGTAATGTCACTAGTGTACAGTACAATAAGTCGTCGTTGTCCAATTCTGATGGAGACGATTTCAGTCTCACACAGTCGTACAGTACAGTACTGTACTGTACAGTCCACTACTGTACTGTACAGTGTACAGTACAGGTGAAGAAAATCACTGTACTCACACAGGTAATACTCTACTGCGCAGGACAATATCAAACTGCTAGCCTATAGCAAAGACTACTAGAAGAATACTGTACAGTGTACAGTGCAGTACAGTACAGTACAGTAGATGGCCCTGCACGACTGCGCAGGCGCCACCAGCCCGCAGCCGTAGTGCCATACTGTACGGTACTGTATTTCTAGTGGTTCATGGCTGTACAGTACAGTGTACAGTACTTTACTCCACTGTACTGTACTGTACTGTACCCTACTGCACTGCACTGTACTCTACTGAGCTGGGTACTGTAGATGGCCCTGCACGACTGCGCTACCAGCCCGCAGCCTGCAAGCACTTACAATCCAAGCCAATTGAGCTCCAAGAATGGCGGTCTCCACTCAAGTTCGAGGAGGTACAACAGTAATCAATTCTCTTCTTTGCTCAAATTAAAATGATCATTTTATTGATATTGATTCCATCATCATTTATGGATAGACATGTACAAATTGTCTTGAAGCACTTTAAGATGAACGTATTTTAAAGAAAGTTAACATTTCACTTGAACTAGCTATCAACCAATGACTTCATGTATCGAGATGCTGGATAGGCTGCAAAATGACAGTCTTCTTTCATCGACGATACTAGTAGAATGATGCAATCATTTTTTGTCTAGCATACATCATACTCATTCATTTCTTGCCAATCTATCCAACAATATATAGTTTGGGGTCCCAGTAAAGAAATTTGGCATATTGTCGAATCGACGTTGACTTTGGACAAGCTACCGGATTACCATGAATTTGAAACAGTACTGAAAAAATATAAACCTCAGTTGTTATCTCTCTTCTCCTCAACGGTTAGTTCATTATGTAGCATCTCTTTTAACGATGATACAACATTTTAAGTGTCATAAGCACTTTTCTGTCATCCTTTTCAATGATTTGATCTACATTAGTCTAATCCCGTATAAGTAAGGATAGAAAATAATAGCCAGATAAGCGAGGATAGAAAATAATAGCCACATAAGCAAGGATAGAAAATAATAGCCACATAAGCAAGGATAGAAAATAATATCTTGCTATTGTACAGAATAAAATTATTCAACTACAGACAACTTGCATCAAGTCAATAAATTGACCATTCTACAGTAGGCGTAAAAATACTTAAAAACTTATGCAACAGTCGTATCAATCGATCGATATACCAGGCGCCATGATACAAATCAATTCAACTCAAATTTACCTTGATGCAGGCAATACTGCATATAGCGCAACTTCCAACTACCTATGTACTGTACTATACGAGAGATATAGACGCTACACTCAGCCAACCACGATTGGAACATGGCTATACCGTAGCATATCATTCCAACACTTTGCATAATTCGATCATGTCAAAATAACAGCTTTAAATGATAAACTTGTTATGACTATTTCCTAACAGAGGAGAAGTGCATTAGACCGAAAAAATATCAAAGAACATGGCGCTACTTCTGGCATTCAAGTCTATGGCGAACCAGTTCCACGCATTTTCAGTCAGTCTTTCATCGAAGAAGCTCTTAATTTAAGCGATATTTTAGATTTAAACGAATATGCTTCCATGGAGTTACTCTTAGCTAGTGAACATCAGAAACCACGTTTTCCTGGATTACAACGTTTACCTTTAGCTATAATACTGTATTACGATGGTTGCCGCTGTCTTTCCTATTCTTTACGATCGCTCATTCAATGGAGATTTGATGGCTCTAATGACTCTGATCTGGGTGAAGAATTTATCCAATTAGTTGCTAAATATACTAATGATCTTATGGATGAAGGTAATACTGGATAAATACAATCCACTAATCTCAACTGTCATTAGTGATACGTTAAATGATTTTAACATGATCTCATTCTTTTAACTTTGTTACGCTACAACCTTAATATTATCATCCAAACAAATTGCTATAGCAGTATATTCATCTCCATTCAACCAACTCAGCTTTCGCTCTTAAACTACCTTGTTAAGATATTTTCCTTTCTTGATGCTATAGGAATAACTGCTAAAATAATGGATTCCCTTAAAACTTTAAACATCGATAATATCATTACCAAAATTCTAACAGATCAATCAACGCAAACTATCAAATATAGACTACAACTTATTGGTATCCTTGAAGGTAATGCTCGCAATGTTCTAAATTTCTGCTTGCATATTATTCATCAGTTCCAATACCAACCAGGGACTACGGATCTTGTTCCATAATATCATTCAAAAATTGTATTATTCTACTCTTTTATAAGATTCTTATTTATAAAGTAGTTTATCGGTGATTATTTTTAAACTAATGAACAATATCTAACAGCTTATTATTATGTCTTGACTAGAATATACCATATCGCTAGCTGAATGCTTGTTTATATGGTCTTTCTATAAGCCATTATCTAAGAATGATTCCTTGAAGATGATAGAATATGTAAGAAATTATAAACCAAGGACTACTGATGATACCTTGAACGCAGTAGATGTATTCATGTTAGCAACGACTCTAAATTGTATCGATTTTGAAGCATTCGGTACCGGTGAAAATGAGAATATCCCTTCTGGTTAGTGCTATCCTTGTAATGAAATTACCTTGATAAAGTTGATAAAATCCTTGTCAAGGATTATCAACATCTTACAGTTACATCATTATCACCATCCTTTGGGTTATCTTTCTATAGATACTTCTCATCCACTTGTTAACGATGCAACATTTTTACCTGAAATGCACGCACTACTTAGTGCTAGTGCAAGTTGGGAAGATGAAGGTCTAAGAGGAGTTATTCTAATGGCGTGGTCTCTAGTTTTACGTGTCTGCTCTCAGCAGACTACTATCAACCTAGACAACCCTGAAATATTGGAAGACGACGAAGTCATTATGGAGTATGCAGTACGCATCGGAGCTCTCCGCTTTTTGCGTCATAAAGTTATCAAATCGAAAGCTTTTTATAATGAGGTAATAAAAATTTTTTACAATCAACATTACAAAGTTTCTATAATCACAATAATGTGTGTTTTAACAAATATAAATTATTATTAATTCTATATTATATAAGGAATTTCTTGTCAGACGGATACATTCTCTAATTACTGGTATCATCATTCTTATGCCATTAAAGGTTATTAATCAGTAGATATGTTCCCTATTCAGGATTGGTGCATTCTTGTTTATTTTTACTGTAATATACAACAAATTATATACACATATCGTTAGATCAAGGAATTTAGAAATGGAGCCGATGAAAGTGCTAGAATCCAGCAAGCTACTATACAAGAAGGAAATAGAGAACCGACTGATTTAAGAACGGAATTTTCCGACTTTCTTTATTTGGTCCGATCTCATTTTAAATATTCAACAATGTTTCTTTGATAAAGATAATATATAATATATTAAAAAATAATTTGATATTGATCATGCATATATTTATACTTCATTTAAACAACTGACAGATTGGTGAATTGTACAAGACAGATCCCCTTAATTTACAACTCAATTTAGAATATTGGTGTCAAACAGATATCGGAACAACTTATGGAGCTACCTCGATGGGTGTTAGCTATCGCGGTAGACCTTCCTATCGACAAGTAAGCCAAATTTTTTTCTAACCTAGCCTTTGTATTGTTAGGCTTACTATCTACAAAGTTTGTCTCTTATGTTAAAACTTTCTCGCCAATTAGGTCAACCTCTTCAAATTTGTTAGACTCGCGGGCGATTTACTACCGGCTTTCCTGTACGTCCCATACGTTGAAATGTTAATGGGCTTAGCTACTGGACCACAAGCTGCTTATTTTTGTTACCTTTTACTGAAAAGTAATAGTTCAGGCCATGGAGGTGGAGCTTCTGTATCGTGGGATCATGTATTTTACTCCTTTAAAAGGTGATCGGTAATTTTATGCAATCGATTTTGAATATTCGTCAAGATTCAAATTCCTATTTTATGTTCACAATCTTACAGCTATTATGTCAGTTTAAATGAATCTGTATCACGATCAGTATCCAGTCAATCACAGCAGATTCATCAAATTACTCCTGAAGAACTGGCAGGTCTTGAAGCGATATTACGCTTAATGCAGCGTATAATTGGACAAGTAAGCTTAATGAAAAATGTCAATCTTGAAGATATCATTATATGTCTATCCTTAGCAATACCAATCTCACTTATTACTATCGGCTTTCTCATAATAATAACTATTAGGATGAAACAGCTCGTATGGCTTTATACGAAAATCAACATTACATGCCTATGCCAGTATTATTCGGCCTACTGAGCTGCGTAGTTCCGTTTACATTAAAAGCAGAAATACTACTTACTTTAGCAGGTTTTGCTAAATCTCAGGAAATTGCTCCTAGTGTATGGCAATACCTGGAATCTTCTCAAGTACGTTGTATGGGTCTATTTATGCTAATTGTTGTACATATTACTAATTCATACTTCGGTAACAATATTAATTAGATCATACGTACGAATTCAAATGAGAATCGTAAAACTGGTATAGAGGTTTGTAACACTATTTATTATTGATACTAAATACATGCAGCATATAATATAAAAGGCTTAGCTAATTATAATGTATTGCTATGATTTAAATTAGGCTGAATTAGTCGAGATTGAATCAAAGCATGAAACCTATCCTGAAACCAGAGCTTTCATAACTTTATTGGACAATTTAACAGATGCCTACTATCCATCCACTTTCACTATCAGTGCTAGAGAACCAGGCTTTCAGCCATACCTAAACTTTCTTTTGGAAGATGTCTTCTTAAAATTTAGTACTAGGCAGTACCGCGATGCTAGTGAAAAGGTTTATTAAATAAATAATTTATCCGATGATTTCGATTGAAAGATTGGAAATTTTACTAAAATATTTTACCCTTAATCGGGAAATTCTAAATTTAGTGGCAAGTAGCCAGTCTTGTGTTGAAACTATTTGAAAAATTCATGCGAAATTATGAACCAGCCCCCGAGTTCTTCTTGGAAAATCAATCCGACAGCACAGTTACGCAAACTGGCCCTGTAGTTAAGCCGCCTGGCCACGAACTATTTTTAAGAATGTTACAGCCAACTCCTATGTTAAAACTGGTAATAATTCTGTACAACCAAATTGTTCCTTTTTTTCTTGCTACTATTGCGAACAACCATAAACTTATAATGCACTATTTTTTTATAAATCAGGTTTTATCGGTAACCTATACTGCTGGTACAGGACTTGATGAACTTGCTTCCAGCACTTGTAAGTATAAAACGTTATTGTAAGACTTCATAGACATCGTTATTGATGTATATGTGTGTGCGGAACACTTTGTACGTGAACTTTTACTCGATCCAGTATTGTAATGTTTCTACTTATTAATACAGCTGGAAGAAATTATTTGGAGGAAGCTGCCCTCTATGCTTTACGGTTAATGGAGTTGAGCTTACATCTGGAAAAGCAGCTATTTCGAATACTCCGTGCATACGATATATCATTAGTTGTTACTCCATTAAGTGCATTGTTGCTAGATGTTAATCCGCATACTCGTAGCACGGATCATTTATTGTATATTGCCAGGTTAGAGATTATGCTAAATCATGCTTATCTGGTCCCTATTAGTTACTATAATATAAGTTCTTTTTGTCCCCTACAGATTTCTGACGCACGGGAATACAAATCCTAATTTAGCTTTATCAGCTGTTAATATATTATACCATATGTGTCGTTCATCTATGTTGCAATCAGATATCATTACCGTCCTGACCAATACGCCGGTAATCTTTACTACTGTGTAGTTAAATGTACTCCGTAGTAGCATTCAGAATCGATTTTATGATATGCAACTAACTATTATAAATATAAAATTTCCGTAGGAAATTGCACTTGAAATTATGAAAGGCTTTGTGGAACACTTAGAAACGCTCTATAACGAACCGAATTTCTTGCAAGATCTTGATCAAGAATACATTGAGAAAGGTTAGCCACAATATGTTCATAACGATGAGGGACTGTATAAAGGTAGACATTCTTTATATCTGAACGATCAATCTTTAAACTTTATGTCTTGTTTCAAGGAGATGAAAATATTTTAGATACGACTCAGACCCATACCGCTGTGAGCGAAAGCATCCTTGAACTTTTACTTTACTGTCTAGATCTACCTGCGCCTAGTTTGGCTCATTTTCTATTAGGTTATGATGTTCGTAAATCTGTTTCCAAAACAATTCTACAAGACCCAGGTAGGCTTAAAAGTATCAGATATCATATTTTGAAGCTACCCTTTACTTCTATTTTGTTATCCTCCGTGTTACTAATAGCCGCAGTACCATTAGGAATTTTAGGCACTCCTCATACATGTCTACATGCAATCTTGACCATTCTACAAAGAAATCTGGACAACGGTTTTAGGGAACCTCCACAAATTGTTGAACAGTGTTACCATGTCATTTATAAATTATGTTCATCGACAGAAACTTGCAATGCAACTATACGATACTTGAGAAACAACCACGAATTCTTCACTAAGCACTTGTATAGGATGCCTTTTGCCAACGGTATTAAAAAACCTGCGCTTGTACCCTATGATTAACTTCTTGGTCTTGCAATGTTTTAAAATACTGTCTTTCTTAATAGATATTCAGACACATGACGAAGCAGATAGTCCAGACCCATTCAAAGTCATCGTGTTATTACAACAATCTTGGCTACTGAAATGTATTGCTCTTGAATTACAATCTACGTCTTTAAACCGTCAAAGATCTGATACTCAGGTGAGTATTTGCGAGCTATACAATCCTGGTCTAATTAACTTAGCTGATTTCATTTTCGAAAGATTAAAGGTGTAATTCATCTAAAGTGAAAATTCTGATTGTTCACAACAATAGAACCTCGTTGAATTATTGGTCAGTTCATCTAATATCACTGAAGATGATGTTGGCAGTATAAGTACAGCACTACAAAGCAAGACCTTCATTAGTGAATTTTCTTGTTTTGACGGTAATGCATTCGATCTCTTCTCCATTATATTAATTAATATACATTGCATTTCAGTATTGATAATGGAAATCTATCTTTATGCCTCGCGTAACAATTTATTTATCGCAGTGCATTACTGATATTTTTACTAAAATTTCAAATTTTTATAGCTGGTAGAACAACTCATCAGAAGAAAATTAGGCTATTTTGTTTACTGGACTGTATCAATGTGAAGCAGGATATGCAAGCTGACCTGCAATTAGAATTTTTCGATCCAACAGCGCTGGATCAAGCCGTGCAATCATGCCAACAAGTTTGGCGTCAAAATAACGCCAAAATTTGTAATATTAACTTTTTTCGACGAATTTTACAGGAAGAAGTCAACAATATCCTAAGTAAAGCTACTATCGACAAGGAACGATTGAATAATGTTAGGCATCTAACTTCTATCATTAACAATTTCAATCTTGACTATTAGCTGAAGCATTTTCAATTATATAATTAGGAAATCCAAGCTTTACTGAAACATGTTGTTCTCATGAATAAGAGGCAGTGTGCTCTGTATGCCAAATTACAAGCATTTGAAGCCTGGCAAGAAGTAGTTGAAGTAATATTTGGAGCCTGCCCATTCGATCTTTTTCAACCTAAAATGCGTGAAGATTTATTATTGCGATTACTGCAGGAGATACTTGATCGGGTGTGTATTAAAGTTGTACAATAGATATATTCTGCTCGAGAAAATCTTTATTATATGTTATAAATGATCGATGACTATTTTGTTAACCAGTGTTGTAGAGATGGTGCAATGCTGGAAATTCAAGCCCCAGCTGCTGGCGTTGTCTTGGCCCTAATGGCACAATTTCGTAAATTAGCTTCATTTAGGATGAGGGATACTCCAGTTGGTTTAGAATCTTCTATTAATAGTAAAGCTGGTAAATATAAGAAAACAGTAAGCCTAGCGAATGGATCAATCATGACTAGTAACGATGATCTTTGCAATTCTTATTTCTAGAAGATCCACTCTCATTTTCAACTTTTCGAGATATTTTAAAAGGCATTCTTGACTTTATCCTTCGTTCAAGTGGTAAACAGCAAAGAGTTCGCATGAATTTATACGTTGCCCTTCTACATTACCTTCAAATATCATTGGAAGCATCGAAATCTTCAGGTATCAATTTAAAATATTAAATGCGGCTTTCGCGTATGTGATGTATTAAAACTTTTTATAATATTCAGATTCCAAGAGAAACGGAAATGACGATATGTCGGTTCTGTACAGTTACGGAGATATTATAATGGATGTCATTTGTCGGGATGCGTGCGATGCTCCTGACATAGGAATGGTACCGTTAACTTATTTTCATCATGTTACGATGTTCATCTAATAGAATTTTCACTTTTACTAGACCCTGGCGTTTACTGTACTGGACGTTATTGTTTCAATGGACTGGCAGAAACGTTGGATTGATTACCTCGATGTAAAAGGATATTTACGGCATTTTATTGAAGGCGTCGTGCGAAGTGATGAAATTCTTCAGACACTAACCGTATCAACTCCGATTTCAATGAAACCTTTATACATATATGAATCTAAAATGGTTAATTTACAATACTTTTATGATAGTTTATAAATTGGCCTGAGCACTATCCATTGACACATATATTATTTTGATTAGGCTCTTCTCGCACGAATTGCTTCGTATGAACGCGGCGCTGAAGCAATTTTGCGCTCGGGAATAATACCAATGCTCACAGAATGTAAATTCTATACCACTAAACCCCCTGAGCAGTTAATTGTGGCTGAAGGGTAATACCATAATATTTTTACTTTGTAACTAGATGCATGTTAATTACCTTTGATTGTTTACTCTTTAGAACCGCAGATGATGATGAATTTTTTACACCGGACGCTGTTGACAGACATCGTCAGATGTTATTTCCTATATTGGAAATTATTCTATCAATCTTCTCGTCGTTGGGCTCCAAACATCGTGAAGCTTATTCACAGGTATTCCAGCGACATCACTGATTTAAAATTTTGATAAAATTAACTTTAACGAACTATTTTTTTAAAACTGTAGATATTGAACTTTGTTCGCCAGAATCTCAGCATTTTTTATGCTACCCTTCGTAATGACAATATAAACGTCTCATTGATGTCGCTGAAGCAGTTATCATTAATTAGTACTGTTATATACCACATTGGTGAAGGCAGCTCAACTTGGTATTCACACTTTACTGCAAGTGATCATGATGAGCAAGTAAGCATATCGTTTTATGATTATGATTAAATTTCTGGAAGCTAATAATAATCAATATGTCATCATCAATTTTTTTCAGAAACATTATAGAAATTTTTTACTTCAACTTCGAAAGAACGTGCTATCTCTGATTCCTCGCTTCTGTTCTCACCAACAATGGAATCAATATATTAAAAGAGCGTCAGTAATTAATAATCATGGCTACTCAAATCCCCTAATAGAAAGTAGTCAGGAAATTTGCAAGCAAGAAATTAAGTTATTGTTACAACAAATCTGCCTAAATATCACTGCCTATTGTCGAGCGACTTTAACTGGTATACAACAACAATTATTGTCGTGACGTAAATAATCTGATCTTGAATAAGTGTCTTATTCTTTCAGGCACAGCTATTTACGGATCAGCCTGCTTTTCGCCATCGCTAACTAAAGCGGTACCACCTGAACTAAGCGCTGTTCGGAAAGGTTAAAAATACAAAAGGCATCTTTTTCTACCGATATGGTTTCAATTGTCTATAAAATAACACTCGCACTTTTAACTTCGACACAGGGTTATCTCAACTTAAGAAACCATCCCAATGGCCTGACTTAAGCATTTTAATACAGTTGCTTAAAGACTGTGTAGACAATTTTAGTGTCACTTTCGATGTTTATAAAAAATATCTCTATAAATGGAATAACTCAGCTGATTTAATGAGTGAAGAGTGGAAAGATGTAAGACCGCATTTCAAATGCCATTCATATACAACATTGCAATACGATGTTTAATTCTCTTTTCTCACAGTTTCTACCAGAAGACATGATCCTGATGCTTGAGGGAAGATTAAACAAGAATCGTCATCAATTCATATATACCTTGATGACGAAAGTAGTTAATAACAAAGGAAAAGAAATAACAAATTACTTTTGTATCCTTTATTTAACAGCAAATGATTACTAACTATTTTAAATTTAAAAATAATTCTTCCCTAAATTGCTATCCAATAAACTTTATTAGATGAAGTGATTGCATTCTTAGCTGAAGTTTTCTAGATATTATCGAAAATTCGCTGTATGTTGTCTGGCATCACCTAGAATATTTCTTTTTCCGATGTCCGACATTAGACGAATACACCGGTGTGCTGATATCTCGTCGCGCAGAAATACCCTCTAAGCTAAGAAAATTGCACGGTACACGAGTATAACTTCATATTCGACCTGATGTTCGATTATTATTCAGTAAACTATGTCTATTCCTTAGTATTAAACAATAATCGCTTGAGGATTTTTATTGAAACTGCTAGATATCTCTCTACCGCGTAGCAGTATAAATGAAGATGAAAATAGCTTAAAGTCAGATAGTGAAAGAATTACAAAAGAAGAATATGAACAGGTTTGTTCAATGTATCCTTGATTTGCAGTTAATAAATATCACGTTATCAGTTGCATATGTTGCAATAGTTTTGGACCTAATTTCTCTTATAGATTAAAAATGATGCTCCGTTATGCTTAAACGATTCGATATTGAAAAAGATGAATGAAATTGAAGACGTAAGAAAATTATTAACGTTTATTTTCCATATTTTAGTGTTACTCTTTACTTTAAAGTTAATTAATACTACTGTACATATATCATACATCTTCGTACACAATATTGCAGACTATTTTAACATGCTTATCGTATTGTATGTTGCACTCTTAACATAAATAGATTTATGGAAAAGATAAATCAAGATTGGAATTTATACATGCCCTAATTCGTAATTTAAAGCGAATAATGAAAATGTCGAATTAGCCAAAATGGAGTTCAATAAACGTAATAACTGTCTTTTGGATATTATTCTAATGTAACAAAGGATACCACAGAAATTCTTTAATCAGGAATAATTATGATTGATCTAGTTTTTTACGTTTGGAAATAAGTTTTTCTGGTTTGTACAAATACATCTTGCGCTTTCTACTTTCTTTCTTTCGTAAATTTCGTTTTAATCGTTTCTGAGCACTAATTTGTGGGTTAGCAACGGCCTAGATGTTTCAATATGTACATAAATTTAATTAATAAAATTTAGAACAAAGGGCCATTGCCCTTACAAGTATGGAAACAAGCTTGAATTTTTTAACCTCAAAGGCCTTTTGTCTCTTTCTATTTAACTTCTTTTCATTTATAGTTTGGTGTGAACTGCTATAAGCCATAGCAAATTTATCTGGATCACAACGTTTTTTAATCATTCCCACAATTTCATCGCATAAAATTTTTAATTCTTCACCTAAGAAATACAAGCATTTTAACAAAACTTACCCTCTTGCATTTATGATAATGACACCATACTATAATGTGAAAATGATATTAAACTCACTTGAAGTGGTTGAAGAACTCTCTTTTTGTAATGGTTGCAATAGAATCGAGAGATTACTTATAAGAACATCGTAATCTAAATCCAAGACCATAGCTGCAATCCATTTAATTACACAAGACCTCTGTTGCAAGTAAACGCCATTATAGTTACAATGTTATAGCATAGAATAGTAGTCTAGAACATAAAATAATATGTTTGTATTGAAGCCAACCTTTTGCACGCTTTTCGGAGTATTTCCAGATTCCAATCGAGCGATTTTACACATACTTTCGAGAATATTTTTAAAAGATAGATCTTCTTGTTTAGAATCACTCATCGATTGTATTACTTTGCAAATGTAGATAAGATTCTTGGTCACCTAGGTCAACCGCGCGAAAAGTAGCATAGCTTAAAATACGTAAAAAAATTTCCAAATTCGTAAATTTAAAGTGATGTCATACTTGGTCAGCTAAGGCAGAATCTAAATACTTTGATTTTAATTGAGAAATGAAGATTTTAATTAGACTTTGCAATTTAGCCGTCGTGTCCTCTTCCAGTAAATGACTTATTAGAAAAGTTTTACAATGGATAGCTTTATCAGGCTTGCATCGGGAAAATATGAACCCTATCAACTGGCAGCCAGTTAAACGCACCCACATGTGCGGATATTCCAGCGAAAATATGATACAATCTGATGATAAAAAAAATTATCGATTATAAATTCTTACATAGCAGGATCAATGAATTAAACATGAAATTTAAATACACTCTGGTTTACTTTGTATGCAAGTCATCCAACATAATATTGTAACACACATAACAAACAATAAGAACAGTTAAAGCACAAATTGTAAATCTTACCCCAAAGCGATGTTATGTAACCTTGATACTTATCGTTGGTTAAATCATATTTATCACTAATTTTTTGCAGGGTATTTATCAGGTAATAGCATCGAGAATCTTGGATACGAATATTCTCATGATCCAAATTATCGGACTATCTCAAACAAAAGATGGTTATTGTTAATGTAACACAAGATAAACATTTATTTTTTATGTCTAAAAAGATCGTATAGAAGGAGTCTAAAATTTTTACCTGTTCATAGTCACCGTCCTTGGCTAAAGCTAATACCAAAGGCAAAACATCCTTTAGTCGTTTTTCTAAGAAGTCGCTTTGACATTCGGCGAATATACCCAGTAATTGCAGAGCTAATCGCTGATGAATGACCTAGAATTACGTGCAGGTACAGAAGACTCTTATTAAAGTTACAAATATTGAAATAAAACCGGCTCATCGTTATTATAATATCTTACCCGGTGACCTTTCAGCCAAGATATAACTAATTCCAATAATTCATTTAAATGAGTCACATCCATCTTCAAGTAAGACAACAGATTATTATCTCATTCATTCTATACATGTATGGACGTATATTAAGCTAAAAATCATAAAATTACGAAAATTGGCGTACTTTTTCAAGTAGGGTTCTAACAGCTAAAGCATTCATTTTTCGGCAAGTAGCAGAATCGTCATTTACAAGACAAGTCGCCAATGACATAAAGATAATAAGGCTATATTCAAATAGTAAAGACTATGGGAAAAACAAATGTTACAATGAGAAATAACCTTTAAAATGATCAATCTATAGTAAATGCGAATTTTACCGAGGGAAATTCATTTAACATGCTAGCTATCATTTCGAGCGCAGAGATCCGACCGGTTTCGTACTCATGACTGAAAACATTCATAATAGTCAAAACATCAACAATACTACAATAAATTTTTTATTAGAAATAATACTACAGTGCAAAAGTGCTCCTACTTTAGATTGTTTAAATAGAATTGAATGATTTTTTCGATTTTTTTGCCCAGCGGATAATCTAATACATAGCGCATATAAAGCTGAAAACATTCAAGAATACATTTTGAGTAAGATCTCTACTTAAAATTACGAATATGAGAAGATTTAACGAAAAATGAACGTTGACAATCACCTGGCGACATTGAAGTCTGACAAAATCAGGGCTACCGTTAATTGACATTTCTTGTATTTTTATCATGATATCATGCACTTCTTCAGCTTCTATACCACGTGAGACGATGGCCTGAGATCCATAAAATGTAAAGTAATGTGGCTCAAACATATAACAATATACAAATATACACGTATATATTGTATATTATTTTCTATTAATCATATGAAGTGTAAAACCTTAATGACAGATAAGGCAGTTGCTTGCCGTGAATGGTCATGGATATCCTCTTCGACGTACGTAAGCAATAGCTTCAATAAGAAACAGTCTAAAGTAAGCTAAAAATCGATTTCACTCATCATTTTAAATATGTTCATTTGTGCCAAACCTTAACATGATTAGGGGATAAAACTACATCACCGTAATTACCAATAAGGATAGAGACAGCCTAAGATAAGAAGACAGTGTATTAAGAACTCGTACAATTTCATCACTTACTAGTAACAGATGGAATGTATACACAATATAATCCAGTGCAGTAATAGCATAAAATTACCTTAAATGATGAGTGCACAAGTTCCGCATTATTGCCTTTTCCGGCTCCAGCTCGAGCATAAATACGTAATACTTTGAAAAGTTTACGCGATAATGCAGGAAGAACAGTCTTAAGCGACGGCAAAGGTTGCTTAATTAGCCAAGTGAGACTGCGTACAACTAAACTAAGTACCTATCAGCATCAAAATAACATCTGTTACCCATGAAAAATTGTGCCACTGATGTATCATAACGATAATATTTATATATATATATATATGTGAACGTAATAATCTCAATAACATCATACTTTTATATTATCCGATTTCATACACCCATTTAATAGATTAAGGTAAGGATCTAACATTTGAATACATTCTTTATCTTCTTTTTTAATGGTCCGATTTTTTATAATCATCAGAAAGATTTTTAGGCCAAATTCCACAAATACGTAAGAATTAGTCTTTAAATTTGCTTTTGGTTGATTTCCTCCTCTACGTGGTTCCGGTAACAATAAAAATGATATGCTTCTATTTTCCGCGTTACTGATTTGGCCTAGATCCTCGTCTAGCTTTTGACCGTCACTCTGTAATAAAGCTGAGCTCTCATTGATAGCTTGATAGGCTAAAATTAATAAACTTTCAAAATTGAAGTCACTGTTCTTAAGCAATCCCGTACAAATTCTATGAAGTACGGATTCAACCCGATTGACTATTTTAGTATTCTGGGCTTCCTGTAATATCTATTAAGATTATGAAAAAATAAAGAGGATAATAAAATGAAAAGAAATTTACTAGCTCTTTTTAATAGAAAATACTTGCTTACCTTCTTTAATGGGAGCAATACATTTCCGATTGAATTATTACTAGCATAAGTAGCCAATATTTCAAATGTACCATAACTTTTATTTTTAGATTCGCGTAATTTCTTAGATATACTGTCAATCTCCTTTTCATTGGCTCTATCGCCAAATGTGTCTTCAATGGCGATCTAAATTACATGCAGCAGAAATACTAATTCAGTAATAATAGCGAAATAAACAGCATTAGTATACCAGACTAGTATTATACACTGACTTCCATTATCATTTCGATGCAAACGTCTAGATTGCCAGGCTTTAACTGTTCTGTTATTCCAAGTAATACAGAATGAAGAGTATACCCTAAAATATGTAACTGTACGTAAAGCATGAGAAATCAATTAAATTCTAGTGAATCTCATATAACTTGACTTAGACAATGTTTTTATCCTGAAATGTCTACTCACCTGATAACCTCTAGCTAACGTTGTCCTTAATTCTTTAACAACGTATGATAAATAATTTGGCCCTAATGCATCCGCAATTTTTGTGAGAATATCACGACAAATATCGCGCACTTCTTGATTGTGGCTTTTCAAGGCTTGACACACACGCAAGATAATTCTATATGATAAATTAAGCAACATTTAATGTGACCTAATCAAGTTTATTGAATCGCTGACAATATTGTTTAAATCTAACCCAGGTAAATGAACCTCCAATGTAGATTTTGGTAATTTAAGTAAAAGTTTAACCATAGCTAAAGCTAGTGGTATCCTTAACATCTCGTTTTGATAATCATCTTTCATAGAACTATGCTTGTGAGCTCCAATCGACTAATAAAAAATTACAAGGTAGTTAACAGTAGTCCAGCTAATCGCCATCAAATTAGCAAATTACTAGTCACCATTATTGGTACATCGCAAGCAATGATCAATATAGGAGTCATCCCTTCTACTTACTTTACTCTTTAAGCAATCTCGAAGCTCGGGTAAAATTTTTGAGGTAATATCTAAAAATACTTTCTGTTTAAGATGTAAGTCAACAGTATCACTAGCTGATTCTGTCAACTCTTCATCTAATTTATCCTGTGCATCTTCAACTATGTTTTCTTCAGTCTCAATAAATAGTTCTCCTGTTTTCGCTATATCAAGACCTGTAAAATATGAATACAACACTTGATATCAAAATAGTTTCCATATGGTTAATTGTCTATATCATCTCAAAGCTTAAGAGCATCAAATTAATAACCACAAACCAGGTAAACAGTCCGCATTTGAGATGTCAATGTGAAAATTATCAAGAACAGCCACGATAACCCTACGCAAATAATTTAATACAGAATTAAGTTGTACCAACCATGATGGTAGTAAATGCGTAGGTGGCTTTGCTATAACTAAACGTAAAATTAATCACTACAGACAATACCAAAACCAATTGATAGCGATAACATACATAAGTACAACAAGATAGTGATTAGCATTTACGAGTTATCTATGGTGTATTAAATAGACAATATAGTCGTTATATCTAGTTGTATGGAAGAATAATCACAGGTTTCTAAAATGATAAAATTTTGCTCTGGCAATCATATAAGTAGATAAACGCCTGCATTTTATAAATAACTATAATCGGTGTGTAAGGTGAATTTTGCGTAAGGCCTCTCACTACTGTATCATAGCAGTTCCACACTTGTGCACGTGTTCACGTTACCCTTACAATCTAGGTTACCGAAGCTATGAATAAAAGTACGTCCAACAAATACCGGGTATCAAGGATTACCTAATAAGAATTTTTTGAATATTTATCCGCCTAGTTAGCTGCCTTAGAAAATGCCTTAGATGAAACACATATCTATGCCACGGCATTAAATATGCAATAGCCCCAACAACATTAATAACTTCTGTTATTAAATTCGGATCTTTGGAACCTTTTTTGTCGAAGATATGATTTGTAGCCATAGGCAAGAAAAATGATACAGCCCAGTCAGCTGATAATTGAGATTGCCGGCAATAAGCTGCTAACTGTTTGAAAGCTCTAATTCTCCTGTGAACCTAACACAAATAAATGACATTCTTAAGAAATGAATGATGCAATTTATTGGACTATCACTATGTAAATAATAGTCAGTAACAAAATTATGCACGATACCTGTAAATGTCGGACATTTTCAAAAAAATCTAGGTCTGGATTCTGATTTAGTAACCCATGTATACAACTTAACTTTTTACTTGATGAAAATTTTCTAACAATTACTCCCAAAAGTCGAATAAATTCGTTTCTGCTCACCTATATTTAACAAAACAGTTTCATAAACAAACTGTCAGACTATAATTAAATTCTAAAAAAATATTTACAAAATTAAGATTAAGTGCCGCACTGACTTCATTCTGCACTTTAATACCCTGTTTGATAGTAGAAAGCATGCTCTGCATGATGCATGTATCGATAACTTCGTCATCTTTACCTATAATAAAAGCTTATTTTAGATGATAACTATATATCTAAAGTTAAGGAAACCATCGATTACAACTTGCCAGTAATCACCGTACCTACAGTTAAGCACCCAACAATTAAATCTAGACAATATCCGCTAGAATGCAGCATAGCAGTATCATCCGCCTGAAATTAATTAAGAATTAGATCTGTAGGTTTGATACTGAATACATCAGATCGATTATTTCATTTCTAACTAAAGTATTCATAGTAGTTATCCAAATAATATTTCAGACTTGAATAATATTGTTCTCTTCACGAAATTTATTACCTGAAGGGTAAAATATAAACAATTGCACACAACAGGTAGATAAAAGTGTGGATTCTGGATACCATCCTTAATCAATTTGTTCACGGTCGAAAAAGCTTTTAATCTCTTTTCATAATCCGGTTGATCTAGTTGCTCAATTTCCCAGCAATTCAACTTTATGTGTGAACAAATTAAAGCAACAGTGACAACCATATTACGAAAAACACTTCTGGCATTTACAGTACCCAAACATACAGGTAGCACAGCAGAAAAATTAGGATATTAGCAGATTATGCGTATAACCTGAAAAATGAGATAAATGTTCTCCAGTAATCCAACTTCATCGCAACAAATTGCCTGAGAATGAAACAATAAATGAGATCCAATGTCAATAGCTTCACTCATACGAAACTAGTCCGCTAGAAATATTCCAAATTAGCTACCTTTAAGGTATTACATAAAAGATCCCTTGACTCACGGCCGGAAATACGAGTAAATAAAATTGCTATTTCGCTAAATACATAGGATTTAGGATAATTGTATAGTTTAATATAGCGTTGTAGCAATCTCAGCCAAAACAGTTAAAATCCATAATTAGCAATATTTAATATTATCAAGCTGTCAATTACTAACTTAAAAAATTTCATACGATCTGTTACATAACCAATAAGATTGCAAATGGATTGAAGGATGTTGGCTTCAGTATACTGTGGATATCAAAATCGATTAATGGATAATAATAAGATAGTATATAGAAAAGAATTCATATTCTAAATAAAATGATGCATCTTAACATTTATTTTGACCTATCAGCAGCATTAAATCATTCCTTACTTTATCTAATCGCTTGCCCTTGGAAATAAACTTCAAAAGTAGCCTAATTAAGTCGCAACTTTCATCACTTGACGATACTAACGGGCTAATCCTATTAATAATTAAAGATTGAAGACAATACTATATATTCAGATATCGGATTGTCAATTGCTATCATCTAAATGATCTCACTTACTTCGATAATACAGAAAATTCCAGCTTTGTCACAGATGACATTTTATTCAGCTTACTAGGGTGACTACTTGTTACAGCAAGGTAAGAACTTAAACTATCGCTTAAATGGCGTAATAACATTCCAATATAGGACGATAACACTTCCCGTCTATAATTTCAAAATTAGTGGGTATGAATTGGCACGAATTAAGTAAATTAGAATAGATGCCATCTTAAGCAGTTACATCACCAACGCTACGATATAACATGATCAAATACTGACCTATCAGAATCGGGATTTACTTCATTCGCCAACAGAAGATTGTTAGCTATTTCTAAAACCATCGTCACAACTGCTGAAGAGACCTTCGGAGATGACAAGCAAGAAAAAATCTCAGACAAAATGAACTGATTTTCGTTGTTAGGGTGCCATTGGTAAAGAAAGGGGACATATCTGCAAAAGAATAGCAAATCAAATTTTTTCAGCGTTTCTTAAACTATACAGTATTCACTAAACAAAGATTGTACCAAAATTTATTTACATTGTATTCTGACTCCAGATATAAAAAAGTTTTAACAAAGGCGTTGGATGTTGGATACATTCTGTAGGCAATCTTGAAAGCTGATAAAAAATTTAACTAAATTATGAAACATATTAATTACAGCGTCGACTTTCGTAAAAAATTTTAAATAATCAACCTGAGGCCAGACTGCCACTCTAAAAATATCTTTAATATGATTAGAAAAGTCAAAATCCTCAAATACTTGAAAAACCTGCAAAGAAGAATTGATTTTAAGTACAAAATGAAAGCAATAATGATAATAATTGATAATATTACGGATAATAATACCAATCGAATAGAATTATATGCCAACTGCCGGATTTTCTTCATGGAAGGAAGGATTTTACCATCAATCTGATAAAAAGATAATACAAGACGCTAAAAATAGTAAATTTACAATACACTTTAAAGTTTATTAATAAAACCTGCTGGCGTTCAGATAAAGTAACGATACAATCATCAGTTATAGCCAATAAAACATCAAGGAATGACGGTAAGATATCCGTAACTTTTGTGCCAAGTTTTGAAATAATTAGTGAAAACATCGATAAAAATCTAATAATTTTAAAAGAGATCAAGCGAAAAAATGACAGTTGTAAGGAATAACTCGTATCCAGTTGTGTAGTAATTCTATTATTATGTAGTATTGAGCAATTAACTTGTACCCTATCCGCTTCTTAATGGGTATTTTCTGCATCTCATTGTATAACGGCTTAATTTTATCTAAACCTAGCATTAAAAATGCAATTTACAACATGCAATTAATAAGATATTATGTTCAGCAACATCTAACGTACTTACATAAATATGAATGAAAAGAACATAAGCTTACCCTCGAAAGGTTCAAACAGTAAATTAGTGAAAATTTGAAATTCATCGTTTGTGCACCCAGCAAGAAATCTTAAAATAAAGGCTCTTCTAGATGCAATATTACTTTTGTTATCGGCACCTAAAGATCGGCGAAACAACTGCCCATATAGTATTCTAATTATTAAGAAGAAATACAACGAAAGTTATTTCTCTTAATAACATCATGAAATTAAACACATCTCTAGACATTTAGGGGGTAATTAACAGTTACCTTATTAGGATTGGGATTAAGTCCTTACGATGAGCATTATCAATCACAGATGAAGATGGATCAATACTAATTTATGTTAGGAATAAGAATGTATTAATATCCGGTATGCAAAGTATCATATTATGTATATATAAGGTAAGATAGAATAGTAAAGCTAAGAGTATATAGGTACTATCTACCTGAATTTAGTTAATTCGTCACGAAATGATTCATCATTCAAAAGGTTTTCAAAGTTTTCTCTATTAGAAAAATTGATATCAATTAATATTTAATAGCAATTACGATCTAGCCTGTTACACCAAAATTGAAAACAGTGACTAGCTAGAAAACAACTTACTTGTATTGAATTAAATAGGAATATTTGTACGTTAATAAAACATTGATAACTAGCATTTGTACTTTAGGATCATTATGCAGCAAGAGCTATTCAAAATTGTAAAAATTAGTACAAGAGAAATTAACAATACTTGTTTAATCTATAGCATAAGACAAGATTTATTGAGCAATAATGGTACACAACACACATTATTGTAAATATCACGAAGTTGGGCTTCCTTATACAATGCTTTGGGATTTCTAAATTTTGCAAATAAGGAGAGTTGAACCGAAAGCAGCCTAAGCATGAAAGAAGTGCAATAAAAAGATCAACATCAAATTTTAAAACACGACATAAATTTTTAATCTAAAGATATACTTGACAATGTAATGATTTCTTCTCATGCGCACGGAACTTTTAAAACCATGTGTCACAACATCATTCCCTGCGATGTCATTATCATTATCATCTATATTATCGTTATTATCGTTTAATTGTCGATTTAGTTCATTAAATGATACTATCTCCTGGCCATCGACAAGAAATTCATTCCTAAGAAAAAATTTATTTGATTCCAGATATGAATCATGTTAATATATCCTGAACTATTCTAATAATTTAAAATTATCAGGTAAAAGCTGAAATGATACCCTTACTATACCTAGCAAATCGAATAAAATGAGAGATAAAATCACGAGATTTTGATTCTGCAGAGTCACTAAATTCTAACATCGATTTCCATAACAAATAACGAAAATTTTGATTATCCGGCCGAGAATTTACTCCTTCTTCACGTGGTACATAACCAGCCAATACATAAGAATTGAAGCATCTCATCAAACTGTTGCTCGTAAAATTTTCTATGTCATTGTTAATCGCTTCATCAGCAATCGAGTAACTTTCTGAAGAAGATTTGTCTACAATAATAAGTAATGAAAGTAGTCAGACAATTTACAAAAGAACAGACAGGGTTCATTTAAGTTTATTATTCTTAGCAAAATTAATGATATATATCGTACGACTGACCTACTATCTCAGATCTATCAAGATGTTCCCTGAATACAGGCCAAAATATTATCATATCTCCAGCAAAAGTTTTTAAAATTGCTATAATTTCATTCCATATTAAATTTAAATTGACGTAGAATTGTCCAATTATATATTGCAAAACTCCTTCATGTAAAATTCGAGGCAACCCTTCGTAAACTTCCCTGAATAGATATAAAAAATTATTAACCTTTCTAAAGCCATGAACTAATTTTTAGCGGTAAAAATTATCACTAGATACTAATGTCGTATTAACTACATTGATCCAACTAGCTTTGCTGGAGATAGCAACAATTAGGGCTGTGACAAACTCCAGATATCTGTTATGTATCATATCATACATATTTATTATTCAGTTACCTAGAATACACTAATTTCCTTAAATGCATAAGCCTATCACGATAGCCATGAAATGTTGGGGAAGCTTCTTCAGCCATAACAAGGTTATTTATTATGTTCTTCGCCGTATCCGACCAACCATTGCGATCAGCATCTTCCGACGAAACGATCGGTTTAACGATATTACGTAGTATTTTCAGAGACAACAGCCTCAACTGCATCAATATAATTAATTTTAAAATTATTAAAATTATTCGATTCTATCTCATTAAAAAGTGAACTAACCGGTCGCGAAGGAGACGAAAAATTCGAGGCCAGTAATGAAAATATCGTCTTTACGTTATCACTAGTAAATATATCAATATGATCTTCCTGACCAACTTTTTCCATATAGAAATTGACAGCATAAAGAAACCCTTCGTGATGAAAACAATATTTCGGCATCTTTATCAATGTCTGTAATGGTAATACAGCTATCGTATCTTTAATAGCTAAAGATCCAACAAGATAAAGGACTGCTTGACTGAATGTATGTAGCAAATTGTTTGTCCAGCTATTCTCTTCTGTAGCTAATATCTTATTTATGGTCCACAGCATGACAGAAGTTACACATTCCACACTGTCATTTAAACGGCTTAACCTATGATATTAAAAAGAATCAATAATTGTCCTAATTGCTATCAAGAAATTACACACTCTAAGGGATTTAATGATGCAAGAATTTTTGGTATCTGTTATCAATATTACGCATTACGGACTTTGTATGGCGTAGACAAAGCAAAGATGACCAAGCAGCTGCTACTCTTTCTTGTTTAATTGGAGGATTAAGATTACTTAAAAAAAGAGCATTAACAATTTCTTCAGGCACTACTTCTAAGCTCATTCCTTTTAAAATTTCTGGCGGCACACAACTATCAAAGTTTATTCTGTAAGTTCTACTACGCTCAGCGTTCGTTAATACGTTCGCTAATACTTCCAATAGCTCATCCCGAATCTGGATGTTGCTATTTCTTAAGGTTTTGTTCCCACAGTATTGTGATAATTTTTGAAAGACTACCTATAAATAGTGTTTAAACATAACTAATTGTAGCACTCTATTAATGCCAGTTAATATTATATATCAAATAAATCGACTTACTTCAGCATATAAAGGGGCATCTTGGCATTGATGGCAAAAGTTGCTAACCACAGAAACAGCACAATTACAAGAAAAAACCTACAAAAACATGCAATAAAGTAGAAAATAATATTAGTTCTGCGAACGAACACCTTTAGAAATTGTAGATAAAATTGTCGCGTTAATAGACGTACCGCATCTGCAATATGTTCTTGTAGAACTTTATCAATTATACGGTCTAGGGATACAAGACTGCAAGCAAAGATCTCAATGATGGCGTTAACATGTTCAAGTTGTAGCGAGGGATCAAATAACAATTTCTTAAGATCCTTTTCAAAAAAACACCCCAAGGTAAGGAATATAAGTTTTCTTCAAATTAGCAAAATACTTAGATGGAGCTAGTAATACCTCGAAAAATGATCGAAAGTCAACAATACATCGACTGCGACCACACTGAATCAATTCCTTGACTAAATGTAGTAGACGCGCTAGTTGATGATGTTCTTCCTCTTTTGTAAACTTATGCAGTTTTTCATGTAAACGTTTGACTTCACTCTACAGAAATTTTTAAAAGAGTACAAACTATATTGATTAAAAATTAGAAATTACATCGAGATCTTAAATCATAAGTTAATATCAGGTCAATATTATTCTGCTATAATGAATAAAATTTGAAAAATGCGTAGAAGTATACTGGTTAAATAACATTCTCGCATACCGAAAGTGCATTCCAAACAGGCTGCATATAAGCATTTTGGCTATGCGCTGCGCAAGCCTGAACGGTGTATACTAATGTCTTCATAACCTGACCAATAGAAGTTAATAAATTAATACTCATAAATCAAAAAACATTATGTGCAACTACGTAAATCCAATATGATATGCAAGGCAAAGAAGATCGATTATAATTTATTATTACGTACAGAGTCGTATGCAAGGGATTCGATATTAGAGATCTCCTGAATGGGTCCCAATTTTTGTAATAAAACAGGTAATACCTAGGGTTATGTAATATCAGTAAATGTAAAACAATCCTTGTATAACGTAGCATAATAGAATTTATAGCTATCAACCAATTCAAATATCTTAAAGTTATTAAAGTACAAGCATAAAATTATAGATTTACCTCGTTAATACAAGTATGAAATTGTCCACTAACTCCTTTGATCGTTTCAAAATATAACAATCCAATGCCTTCGCACAGCTATGATTATAATTATAGTCAGTACAGATATAAAATTTTACAAATGCTATTTTTGACCTTTACAGTCAGTATTTAATGTTAATCTAAGTAACCTCAGTTGCATTATCCAAATACGATAATACATAATTGGCAAGAGTATGCTGATCTGGAGCCTAGAAGTGTTTAGAATAATTAAAAGGTTATTTAGATGACTTAATTTTTGTCATTTTAGAATACTAGATAATAAATTTAATAATAGAGTACCCCCAACACACTTAATTGTAGTCATCTTAAATGTATTACCTTACGCATTAAGAATGAGAAACTTTCCGTTGCGAATGATTTTATATAAATTTTTTGTGAATCTTTCAACATTTCTTGATAAACTCTACAAAGTAATGATAAACTTCAATATAAAGCATAGCACTATTTCTTGATCAATGACACGACAAAGGATTTCGATAAGTAGTTCAGGTGATCTATGAAACACAACTAACTTGAATAGATTGCGTAAATCTGGAATCATGTGTCTCCAAAGATATTTAAATAAATACGCCAGTGTTTTAAACACATCCTAATCACAATCAGTAGATTAATAATCCTAATTTACTTCACACTTCATAAAGTTATAAAAAAATGACAACATGTGTATAGTTTGAAAGTTTTTCTTACTTCGATAACATCTGGATCACCCACATTTAATAAAACTATCAGTACCGCATAGAATTCTCCAAAATAAGGGTAAAAATCGCTTTGGAGGTCACGAGCAAAATTAACGACCAAACTGGTTAGACACAGAATTATAAATTTTTATATTAATTAGTTTACAAACATGCTATACAGTAAAATTTTAAATTACAAGTTAAAAATTTATAGAAATACTTGAAAATTAATTGTCAAGTACTCCCTTACTCTAATAACGTTGATATAGTTAGAATTGATTTTTTCTCCAGATATGTCTTCAGTAATTGAAAAATTTCATTCTAATAGTCAATTTCATTCATGAATATAATAACAGAAAATAACGCCCGTTAAAAAGATGGTAATACCCTAATCACGCAACGCGTTACACAGCAATAAGTTAATCAGGGCTGATAAGAATAAGATATACAATCGATGATGTAAAAGTAAGTTGTTATTGTATATACACATAAGTATTTACAATACTAGCAACAATACAGGAACATGATAACTAAATACATGGCATAGAGTGCCCTTTAATTTGTTAAGCGATACAAACTTTCTCACCTTATGATGGACCAGTTGAGGCAAAGTTTGACAATAGTGATAAACCTCACGCCTGAATTGTACTGATGAAATATTGAAGTATAACAAAATTATACGTATGTTATTTTTAAATGATCCTAATTTTAAAACTATAGTACTCAAACGTACTAACCAAATTCTGTGCTACAATTCAAGTCAGTCCATTTAAATAATGCTTCCATAAAGAACGTCTCGGCATCCTTATATAAAAAATTTATCTGGATCAATATAAATCTCAAGGACCAACATGTATAAATCAGCACAGTACTATCTCTACATATAAAAACTATAAATCTAATTAAAATAGTTTGAATGCAATATCAATTTTTAATTTTCAATTAGAATTATTCAGGTTATAGACTGCATACAATTTCAGACATTGGATTGCAAATAACGCTTGTATTGTGGTGTATTCTTAGACTGATTATAAAACGTACCGTAGGTAAGTACAAGCTAAATTAAGCTAGAGTATTAAGACACAACTGCTTATCAACTATATACTGTAATAGCCTCTATTCATATCCAAAGGAATACTAGCCTGCAAATCACAATACTAGTTTGAGGATTGCATTAGACTAGAAATATATTGTAACATAAAATTTCTCATAAATTCGTTGCTAGGATGTCCCTAGACAAGAATGTACATATACTTTATACAATAGTACGTCATTTGCTCCCCAAAAAATTGCTGCACTGCTATACTGTACTGCTAGTCCACATGTTAGCTAAAAGTGTTCAAGTTATCTCTCTAATTTATTCAAAAATCATCATATAAGAAAATTATCTACGATTAAACGATATCGAATCTTTTCTGGATAAGAATATATGCTATATTCATGTAGACGAACTTGAGCATTTGTTTCTATTTCTTGCAAATGACATAATGAATGAACATTATAGTAGGAGTACATTTGATCACACAAGTAGAACAACATTGCTGTATTACAAGAAGGGTAAAGAAGCTGCAGAGTTTGAATAAGAATAATTGAGTACTTTCTATAATAATCACGTTTGCTATGTTATTATCTCAACCTCAGGGTTTGATTTCCTTTTTTGAGCTCGATGAATGACATCAATTCGAATGCTTGCAATACGTTCATGAAAACCTTTAAACTGTAAAATGAAGAAGTTAGAAATAGAGTAATAGAATTCCAATTCTTGAAAATAATGCATCATATTAGTTGTACCGTTACAAATGTGTAGTTGTATCTTTCCTCAATGCCTGCTATAAGCGAGCTACGGTACGACCGCAATTTGTATCATGGATTACTAAATGCATCTACTTCAAATACATTGTAGTGAATTGGCCATGAATGAATATTATAATTTTAATGGTTGATACCATATTCAATATGTTTCTACATAAGTATATGTAGTTGTATTATTTTGTCAATACCTGTACTGTAAGTAAGTTGTAGGTAGGATTGCAACTATGAGTGAAGGAATATTATAATTTTAGTAGCTGATACAACACGAGTATACGTTTGCAGTATCTCTCTCAGTACATGTTTGTAATAAGTGGATGTATCTTTCTTCTGGTATCGTAGGTAAGCTATACTGTAGTAGGACTACAATTATACTGTATATTAGCTAAGAGCAGTCCATCATGGATTATAGTACTACTGTATATGCCAGTAGTTGAAATGAATTGCAGAGTAGGTCATGAATACTCTAAATGTTGATGGCTAATGTAATATACACTATTACTCTACGTCAGTCTATCAAATGGCGTACGGATGTAATGCCTGTAGCGCAGGCTATTGCAGCTACTACTTCAAATCTATCTACATTATAGGTAGGCTCGTATATATTGATTATTTTATATCAGTCATGAATACTCTAATGTAGATAGGTAATGTTATATATACACTATTACTCTACGTCAGTCTATGTAATGGCGTACGGATGTAATGCCTGTAGCGCAGGCTATTGCAGCTACTACTTCAAATCTATCTACATTATAGGTAGGTTCGTATATATTGATTATTTCATATCAGTCATGAATACTGTAATGTAGATAGCTAATGTTATATATATATACACTATTACTCTACGTCAGTCTATCTAATGGCGTACGGATGTAATGCCTGTAGCGCAGGCTATTGCAGCTACTACGTCAAATGTATCTACATTATAGGTAGGCTCGTATATATTGATTATTTTATATCATAAAGAGTTAAGCTGTCCAATTCTATTTTCTAGCTTATCCTTTATCCTACACCAATGCTACCTTGAATTCTTTGTCAAAAGATACAGTAATCACTGGCTGACTGTTGTGGCATAAGCTAACATGGATCATCCATTGACTTTTGTATTGATCTACATCATGGAATGCCAATACAATATAGTCAAATTCAAATTGGATCATTTCATATGTATAGTAGCTTTTCTACTAAACAATGACTAGCATTAGCCTTGAGCAATGAATATCTTGATACCTATCCTGAAATACAGGCAATGATTTGATAACGGGTACGAGCATGATTATGGATAAAAATAGAGATGATGTTTCAGCAAAGAATGTACAAATAATCCTGTAGAGGGAGAATGAATTGCTTGTACAATCAACCATTGCTACTTACTTTAAATCTCGTCTCCATCGAATCCTTAAGACTTTTCATTCGTTTCTTGACCATCTTTGCAGTTGTTCATTCACAGCTATACCCAAGAATTGTAGTAGGAAATGAAATTATCGTTGCTACTCGTGTCTTTCGATAGATGTCGTCCAGCCGGTTGTCGATCGTGTAATGGAGGTGGTTGATCGATCGCTTGCACCTCTAATCTTCAGCCAATACAGTATGGATGGATTACAGTAGGTCTCTTCCGTTGCCCTTTTTATTCAGAAACTATTTTGAATGCTTCTCAAACGTACTCCGAGTTCAAATCAAGCTTGAAATCGCTCCATCATCAACTCGCCACAGCCTCCAACTACCTTGCTTTGCCAAGAAGAAGATCGATTCATTTGAGGCCTTGCTCAACTCCTTTGCTGCAGTACTTTACCCTTAGCTTACGTTACCGTATCGTACACGGGAAC